ATTGCAGCTAGGCAATTGAAAGTTGTTTTTGGAGGATGTGACAGCGGAAAGATTGCTGGGGTGCTTAGTCTCCTCTTGAAGTCCTTCAAACTTTGTTTCATAGAAATTAAAGACAAGGCTACATGCGCACTTTTCGGGAAACCAGTCGACAATGCTCATGAGATCACATACATGACGACACGATCAGATACTTAATCATGGCTATATTGGCAAAACGGTGCCTGGCGGAAGATGCCGACACATTAAAAATGACTGAACTTTGGAGTAGACAAGAAGAGCAGCATGTAAGCACGTGGGATACTAGCAACAACAGTAGTGATGCGGCGGGGTGATGTTGAGCTTGTGCAATCATCTAGCGACCAGGCTGCGACAACAACTTGTAGTAGCAAGAGCAAAACAGTTCAAGGTTTTGCTGGATCAACCCAGCCGGCGTACCCCTGAAGGACGTCGTGGAGTAACCATCGGAGCTTCTGAGGAAAGAGAATCGACCTGATGATAGGATTGTTAAGTTTTAAATTAACGGCAAAACGCCATTGTTAGCTATATTACCGTTTCCGAATTATATATTTATCTATGAAATGAACCGATGTCTAATTTATCTATTCTTCCATTAACGTGTTAATGTTACTGGATGTAATTATACAATTCTGTAACCAGTTGCAGGGCGTAATGGAAATCATTCGATTATTTAAGCTTTGCTTTTTTCTTTTGTGTGTGAATGATCGTGTCATCCACATGTAAAACTGTCGATGTAATTTCTGGGCTGGTATTCGTTTTACCTGGAGGATCACTGAGCAATTAGTGAACAGAGCTAATTCATGCATTGCAAATCCCAAAACAAATGTTTACAATTGCAAAGCTGGCGACACATTCAAAAGAACTGGTAAAAACTTTCACATTAGATAACCCCCTCCCCTTTCCACAAACACAAAATTAAAACATAGAAAAACGCAATTTTGTAAAGGGAAATAGAAAAACCATGACACATACTTTCGATATTTTTCTAATTTCATTAACCTACTGAATCCTGACAGACATCAAATTATACAGCTGTCTGTTTGTCTTATGACTGAATACATAATTAATATATGTGCACAGTTTGTGTAATGTCCAGAATCTCTCTTGAATATTGTTGTCTATATCATCACTCAAAGTTTCATACGGATGGGATGCTGAGATAAAACACCAGCGCCTATATCCAATTAATACTGTATTTTATCATTCTTATTGCCATTCATTCAATCTTCATTGTTGACAGTAAATATATTATCAGCTTTCGAATGATTGTTCTCCCACGCTCTCCGTTGGTAACGGACACCGAACACAGTATCCTCGGTTTAAGATGAAATCCTGCGTCACCTTTTTCAGGATACCCCTGTTGGTTGGTTTTGGTGCTCACATGACATTTCCTTCACCATGTGTGGTACTCACACAAGACATTGTCAGGACAAATTTTCACTCCAAGTATCCAAACGACATTGAACTTCTGATAGGAGACTTCCCCTTAGCTTGTGAAAGACGACATTGGGGTGAAATATAGTCAATTTCATTTCATAAAATTTTCTATTGTCTGTTAAATGAAGGTATCTCCATGAAAGGAAAATCACAAATCAGTCAATAATGCGCGTGTCCGCCTAGGGCATTGATACCGGTTGTGCGTCATCTCATGAAATTGCTGAGAGTCTGGAAGAATGCCCGGGGCAAATGGTTCCATTTCTTGAGGAATCTCTGTTCCAGATTTGCCAATATCAACGGAACTCCATCAGCAGCGATTCTTCTCCCAATTCCATCCCACACATGTTCTATCGGTGTCATATCCAGTGAAAGAGATGGCCAAGGCAGGACATTCACTGTATTCTGTGCAAGGAAATCCATAGGTACTCGAGCAGTGTGAAGACGGGCGTTGTCCTGCTGGAAAAACTGTAGTTACAGCTTAGCAGTAAACAAGGGAACGCCATAAGGCCTGATAACGTCATCCCAGTACATCACTCCTGTTACATGTTGACGGGAGACATGACGTGAAGAGGTGTCCGATGGTGGTAACTGAAGGCTCCTCATACCATCACGATGCCGCCATCCCATCTATTAGCCTGCAGGACACAACGTTCGTTAGGTAGACGCCACACATGCAATCTGCCATCAGCATGCAATCGAGACTCGTCTGAGAAAAACGCCGTCTTTGAAGACGTTGCTGTCGATGGCGCTGAGTGAATAGGTCCTACATAAGGACGTCGGCGGTTAATGCCATTTTCATGTAGACGACGGCGGACGGTCTCGGCAGACATTGGGCGTCTTCTTACTCTGATGGCAGCTGCGGTTCTGGTTGCAGGCTGGGTCCGGTTACGAAGGTGAGTTGCTGGATGTAGCGATCTTGGGCTCGAGTTCTCACCTTTGGTCTCCCCGTCCGGGAACGATCAGAAATATAACCCATATGTTGGAAGCGTCCAGCAAGCCTGGTGATAGTGCTTACATGCCATCCCAAGTGTCTGGCTACAATTGTGGCTGAGCTGCCCGCCTGCAAACTTCCAAGAGCCATTCCTCTCTGCAGTTGTGTTTCATGAGCAATATTATCCTACCTTCACTGAATGAATGGTTTTGGAACTGGCCACTTTATAAAGGAAACGTCTCAGTGAAAAGCTCATCTGTATTGGCAACACCCGTGATTGCACGTGCAGAATTCACGATTTTACGCATTGCGCATGTGTCGGTGTGAATAGTGTCGGGAGTGAACAAAAAACACGCTATTCCATCATTTGAACTCATGTGAAAATGTACTTGCGTATTTATGGGGTTCAGTATATTTCATCATCATATTCTTCCTTCGGGTAAATGTTGCTTCGCTTGCCTGGTAAACAGATCTATGGCAACAAGTCAAAACTAGTGGTACCTACATGAAAATTCTAAAAAAAAGTAAAGCTATAGTGATGATATAAGATGTTGATAAAAATTGTATATATGTCAGAAAGATTAGTCTGGCTCAAAACATGGTCAGTAATGTTTGGCCTGTGTTTTTATCAACGGAGACGGATTTAAATTTTAACCGGACTTATTTCTGTATCCCGTTGTTGGAGTATTTATGTGTATGTGTCATGTTTATATGCTATTTGGAATACTTGTAAAGTTTATATAAGCATGAATGAAAATTCTGACCAGTTTGCCACTGATAACATCATTAAGACAAAGCCAAACCTTTACAGGTAAGAGTTTCTTGTATTGCTTCACAGTTAATGAGCACTGCAATTGACAGGATCTTTTTTATCAGTTTGTCACCTTAGATATGATAGGTGTGATATGTACCTAATTAAAAATTATTTTATATACTTTATTATTCATCGTGTACTTCAGTAACTATTGGCATGGGGGCAATGGTGAAAGTTCACCGCACTGATTGCTTCTAGCGTGTTACCTTCTTGAGCCTGACGTAACACTGCAGCTGTATCATGTGAATAAGGACTAGAGATACTAAGAGATATCAAAAATAACCTACAATTAATAAATATGTAGGTATAACGTTCCAGTATAAACACAAAACTTTAATCGTTTTGTATACATTTGTAATATCTTGAGTGATTTTAAGTTCTATACAGTAACTAGTTGTAGCTGAATAAAACTGATGGCAGCAGAGAGTGATGTGAAAAAAACATTAAAAGTCTCTGAAAAGCCTTTAAAACACACGTGATTTACTAGGATTATCAGGATTTATGTAAATTTTATGTGTAAGTGTATAAACGGTAAATTGACAAAAATAATTTTACATTTTACATTGTATTAGCTCTTAAGTCCCTAAGAGTAATATATAATCATTGTTTGCTCGGATGGAAGCTTGCGTGGAGTTTTACATTCGCAAGAAATTTGACTACCCTGGCAAAACACTTGTAATGGGACTTCTAACCAAGGAATCGAACCCAGGCCGTTTAGGTAAAAGGCGAACGAGACATCTTTTGTTTGTCTAATTATGTACATAATTATATAAAGTACTAAGGTCATGCGCAAATATACTTTCATTGAATAAATAACACCACAGTTGTGTTATAAACACTCCATATTTTCATGTTAGCGCATGAGGTAAGAAGGCCAGTTATAAATAGTCTTAGCTATCTTGATACGTGCGTTCCGGACCAAGCACATGACATTGGTATGAATGTCCGTTTCACAAGAAATACATTAAACGACTCTGAGGATTCATATTTGACTTAATCTAGAGACGTATATATATATATATGTACATATCTTTGCCTTGCATCTGACAACGTTAATAATTAAAACGTGATAATGTTCACATATCTCGTATACAATGGAATCGTCTACAAGATTTAAGTTTATCAATTAACGGAGATATTTTCTGGCGCATTCGTAAAAACCATCTTTGTATTAAATGGATACGCCGATATTCTCACTTTCCCTTCCATGTTGGCATCACGACAGAGCGCCAAGCATTTATGACAAGAAAATCAACAATTTCCGCTAATACTGAACATTTTCGTCAGGTTGGAAAGTAAGGATTATGTAAAGATTCTTTATACACAATCAGGAATTTTAATATGTGACGTTTCGGTGACCAGTACGATCCGTACGCTGTCACCTTCCTCAGACCAATGACCAGTAAAGCATGTACACAAAGGTGTGATATGTGTACGAGTTGTCGTGGAATAGCGTCGATTTCGGACATGCTGACAAGCGTAGCCGAATGGTTTTACTATTCGCTAACAGTCATTTCGGCACTTGTCAGCATGTCCGAAATCGACGCTATTCCACGACAACTCGTACACATATCACACCTTTGTGTACATGCTTTACTGGTCATTTGTCTGAGGAAGGTGACAGCGTACGGATCGTACTGGTCACCGAAACGTCACATATTAAAATTCCTGGTTGTGTATAAAGAATCTTTACATAACAATTTCCGCTTCCTGCGCTTGTTGTTGTTCATGAAATGACTTGAGCAAGTCTCATTGTGTACGTTTACCCGCCGATAAGAAGGGCATACACACATTAATTTTAAACAACACGTACGTGTGTGTAGTAAGGTGACCCTAGCTCGTGCTGTTGTGTAATTCCACACATGGATACAGAGCTAGTGTATGGACATTGTACTGGTCTCTGGTTTGTGAGGTAGGATCTAACCATTAGACTGACCATGTTGTACATCGTGGACGTGGTGATTGGGCTAATCTATCTGTATTTCGCCTTTCTGTTGACCTATGTGAACTGTCACTTTCGATCAATAGTTGACAGGGTACGGAGCATGGTTAGATGTAGGAAGTACAGGACCACATGCAAGGACTGTATCATTATATTTTCCCGTTACCCCCGGGCAGGAACTACAAAAACGAGGCTCATCCCCACCCTCGGACAGGATGGTGCAGCGTACTGTCAACTTCTTATGGTGAAAACAATTTTCTTATCCGAAACTTATCACCCGTATCTATCCAATATTATTCCTGCATGGACCCAAGATCTGGTGTGAATGTTTTTAATCACCCGGATGTTACTAACCTGCGGAAGAGAAAACTGAAACGAATTCGTTTAGGGACCCTATATGGCTGGAATTTGGCGTAGCCTTTCTCTAAATATGATACAAGTTATTCCATAGTAGCAACAATAGTACTATATAGTGATTTATTTCATTATACGTCCTTGAGTTAACGATGTCATGTCGGGTTAGTTTATTAATACAGACACTAACAAATTGCCATTAAATTCTTCAGTTGATATGTAAAGGAGATAACATTGATATGCTGTCTTAGTACAATCTTGGGAATACATGTACATAGTCAGTGTCTTAAAATATAAGCTGTATCTTGGCTCGGAACAGAAAGACAGAGGCTCGGTACTTTTGTCTTTCTTCACCTTCGCTAAAATACAACTTATATTTTAAGACACTGACCAAGTATTTTATTTATCCTGCAACAATGCTTGAAAATTAGACTATTGAAACTTCAAAAGTTTTGTTGTTCAGTCTGTGTTTACCAGACGTTTACGTTACGCTGAATTTTGCCAGATGACGGAGGCCAAAGTAATTGCACCGCCGGGAAATATACTTCCAAATTTAATTGGATATAACAGCGATTTCATGAATATTCATAAATCAACTTATTCATTATAACATGTAAAAATCAGTCATTTCAACATCTGTTCCTATTCCTAAACGTAATATTTAAGTAAATTCGGAAAGTAATTCTGTTGAATTACCGCACGTGCTAAAATACAGATGTTTTCCGTCACTGTCGAATACAGCCAAAATATATGTGGCAGGTGTATTCCGACAATGACAGCACTAGTCGCAGAATAAATTGTCGTGACGAAAAATGACAAATTCCTATTTATTTTAGAAATCAGGTCGGATAGACCTTTTGTATTCGAAAGAAACTCTGATATGTACTATTTTCACTGATCCTCGCACAGCGACGTAAAGTTTATCATTCCAAATAGTTGTTGGAGAGAAGTATTCAGCACAGTTATTAAACAGAGAACGGAATACTTCCAACAAAGTTTTATCTTTATCACAAATTACAATCTACATCTTATAATTTAAGCACACACCGTATTGATTTGATAGGCTCAACACCTTTTTTCTCCCATAGACTGAGCACATACTGGACACAGTGTCCGACCTTGTGTCACACAACACAATGCCCGGGGGTTTTGAGGTTGAGGTGCAGTACAAGGACGGGTCACCAGCCGAGATGGAGTATTGGCTCGGGAGACGAAGACAACACACCCCTGGGCTCGTGTGGGCGGAACAGGCTGATGGAGATCTAGGAAACAAGATGAGAACAGCTGTTCTAAGAAAATTCGCACAGGGCAAAGACAATGTTGTTATCATCGGTTAGAATTTGTCATTTTTATTTCAAACACTTCTCCGTGTTAAATGTTGTCACCGTATTTCATAACTGAAAGTTAAAATCAGACAGTTATTTATTATTTTTTATTGCAAATTTACAAACAACTTCGAAATCCAAGGGTTTGGCTCTCGATATGCGTATGTTTGCGTGCTTTGATTTTACTTTAACATCAGGAACACCAAGACTGATTTTTCCCGTACGCGTCTGTGACATTCCAGCAGATTCTTTATTTAGATTTGCAGAATAACATCACGAGAGGTAAATTAGAGGGAAGTGATTTGTTTACTGTCTAATGAAAGCAGAATCTTTTCGCTTTTGATGATATTCAGATATGAGAGCATTCTAACCATTCTTTTTATTAAGAATTGTTTAGTGACTGAAACAATTCTTCATAAGTTATTTATAAGCATGCTTTACTGTCGATAGATGAACAAAGGGAAACATGTCTCTTTGCAGATAATTGATTAAAAAATAATGACTCATGTTAAATGAAAAAATCAAATTAACAGGAGGAGATATTCCGGGGATCACACAGAATGAATTACTCGAGGCTTTCGCCAAACTGCGAGGGAAAACAGACATGGTATTAGGACAAGCGGAAGATGGCGGTTACTACCTGGTGGGATTTCATAAAACAGCCAGCAAATATATGGGTATGTACAGTACAGCGAATAGTCGATGTTCATTCGTGGTAAATTTGATATTTACTATGTAATACAATTCTTGGTAAATATAGTCCGGTTGCCAAACCAAAGATTTTTGGAGAACATTGCAATGCAAAGGTTTTTTGCCTTTTCTATTCCTCTGAAGTGTGCTCTTCTGAATCTGTATGATGCCACTCTGTCATCCTTGGGCAATCTGAACAATATGCAAATGAAGTTCGCCATTACTGAAAATCTTGTTTTCATCAATATCTCAATGTGTCAAAACGATTTTGGTGTCTACCCCCACCGTCGTTCGGATAAGACGTTAAACCGCGTCTACGTGTACAGAGTTACCCAAGCTGACAGGGTCTACAGAGCTGAAAAATCTATATGAAGGTGAAGGGGAAGACGAACTGCAGCACCTTTGTTCAGATGATACGTTCAACCGTGTCCATGTGTGCAGCACTGTCGTCCGGATGAGACCTTGAACCGCGACAATGTGTACAGAGTCACCCAAGCAGACAGGGTCATCCCAGCTACAAAAACTGAAGGTGGAGAAACAGGTCGTTCAGATGGTATGTGGAACTCGGGCATCGTATAAAGAGATTTGTTAGAGAACTTGAGTTCAGACTTCTTTGTTTCACCTTCGTTATTGATCAGGAAATATTAATCGGAAGAAAAGCAAACATATATCTTCAAGGTAGAGTCTAGAGATGGAAAGGTGCTGCTTCTTCTGTAATGAAGGTGGAAGCAAGAAGGAACTTAGCGTAGCAAGCACTGATAGGATACTGACTATCATTGAATCAAGTAAACGGAGAGGTGATTTTCTCCATGATGATTTCGAAACTAGACTTTCTGCAGACAAACATTTACAGGTCCTTTGTCATAGAGACTGTGTACCTACATATACATCACATCAAGAGACACTTAAATAAGCTTAGTTCATAAAAATGTTCCGAAGAGACATTTGCAGTAAAACGTCTGCGTCGGTCCGGACCAACAACCCTCAACTTCAGGCAGCATTGACTTTTCTGTGGCGAGGAATGCTTCGACATTGATCCAAAGCATCCAGATCGGTGGAGAAGGGTTGTTTTTTGTAGGACAGCAGACCGTGGTGAGGGGAGGACGAATGATAAGGAAACCATTTTAGGTATCTGCAGATCTGCAGGACAGCTGGGAACACAAAGTAGAGACACGTTTGACTTGGGCAGTGTGTGATCTGCATGCAGCCGATAGTAGATACCACACAGACTGCTACAAGAAGTTGTGTTCATCTCGGTCAGTGAAGTCAGCTTCAGCAACATCTAGTAGCAGTGAAGAGGAGGTGGATGTGGCTTTTGAAACGACAGTCAATAAATTGAAAGCAGAATCATCGCGAGTGTGGAATTCCATCAAATTATACGACCTATACCATTAAAATGGCGGCGAAGGCATTAGCCGCCGAACTTTAGTGTCCAGGTTGTTAGAATACTTTGGTTCGGATCTTCTCGTGTTGAGTGATACAGGTGTTGCTAGTCTTCTTGTGTTTCGAAGTAAAGCATGGAGTTTGTTGATGCTAGTGCTGAGCAGTGATGAAGATGATGTTGCGATAGGACTGGAAAAAATTGCCAACCAGATTGTCCATGATGTAAAGGAATCATTAGTTGATAAAAAGAAGTATCATGCCAGAGTCAATATGGACATTGCCCTTGATCGTGTCAGTGCCACTTTGTAATTATTGCTGTCCAACTTTCCACAAATACAATATTTTCAGTAATGGTGGCCTTCATTTGCATATTGCCCAAGGATGACAGAGTGGCATCATACAGATTTTGAAAGAGCACATATCAGAGATATAGAAACAGCTAAAAATAACTTTGTACGAACCGCGATGCACGCCAGATGGTATCTGTTACCGGACTAATATAATGTACATGACAAATAATAGGTATGAGACGGTTAAATCTGTAGATGATATGTAAATACAGTAAATGTCCATAATTTAAGTGCAATCGGTAAGTTATGCAGAGTTACGTCACTTGATATTTGTGATATTAAATTGTTTTAACACCAATTCCGTCAGATTTTGGTTACTGTTGATGACTGATGAGCGATATGTTTGTCTTTTTCTCTCCATAGCGAATGTATTCGAGGACATTGAATGGGGTACCAGTAGTGTGTTTCAACAACAGACCAAAAAAGCCAAGTTGTGTGGCGCGAGCCTCGGGATTCTGTCCACGGTCCTGAGTGACGTAGTATGTATCACATGGTCATCGGCGCAAAATGATACTCAGTACTCAGTAAACAGTATTTACCTAACCGCTCTCTTGCTTCAGTATTTCGTGAAAAACTCTGCGACATTGAGTTCTTATGTCAAACATGTATAGTTTTGAAAATACACCAACCAGGATATTAACGTATTGGTGGTCCATTTCATTAGAACTGTGCATATCATGCGTTCTATGGCATGTAGTGTATCTTTCTATCAGAACCATCTAGAACCGTTTGTGTTATTTTGTCCTCGGGGGAACTTATGAACTTCGATAGGTTTTCGAGTTCTATAGTTCTAAATGTCAACTTTTATGTGAGGTCTCTATAACTGTCGCCTTCATCAGACAAACTCCGATCAGAGAAATAGAGAATACATGGTCAGTGTCTTAAAATATAAGCTGCAACTTGGTTCTGGACAGAAAGACAAAATACAGCCTATGTTTTAAGACATTAGCCATGTATTCTCTCTATATATATCTGATAACATGTAGTAAGAGGTTATCTATACTACCTCTGTCTTGCATCATCGGATTTTTGACCGGTTCTTTCTAAAGGGACATTAAAAGCTTAATATTTTTGTTTTTCCTGGGTTTTTTTAACCCGTTTATTCATTCCGTGTTTTGTTTTCTCTACTTTTGCTTTCTGGACACATGTCCTCAAAGAGTATACTGACTAACAAAAGAACTATGACCAGCAAGTCGATTGGGCTGACAGCCAGTAACATTTTGAACACCATCCTGGTCGATCTACTGTCCTTATAAAAAGGCAAGTCTGTCCACCTTGACATTGCACAATCCAAACAATATCGTCTCCCATCTATGTATAAGTGATTCTGTAACCCGGTGTCGTTCCCATCTGAGGAATGTGATGTTAAAATAATCTCAAAATCACGCGCGAGTTTGTGAAAGTTGGTTGGACGAGTTGGCACAGTGGTAATTCACTTATCTTTCACCAATACGACCGAGATTCCCCGATCAGACTTGCAAATGTATATAGACCTATGGAGTCACTTTTTTTTATCACGTGTGTTTCATTCCGGTTACCTACACCAGGACCAATGACAATGATTGATAAAATGATTATTTCCGTCGTAGGAATTTTAGTAATTAAAACACTTGAGTATGTAACTTTCGCTAAGGTCCGGCTTCTTGCTTTGGCATCAAGTATTTCTTGTCATAGAACAAATTGTACCGATTTAATGTACGACTATTAACAGAATGATCTTATGAAAACTATTATTATTGCTTTCTGTTTCGTTTGAAGGATACGGAAATGGAACTTCCCGAGTTTGAAAAAGAGGTTGGGGTCCGGAGGTCGGAGGTTATTGAGGACTCGTGGAGTGTCGTCATACCTGTTCTAAACGAGGCAAATGGGATCGGGAAGACTCTTGAATCAGTTGTACAGGTATTCATATCTATATATTTTACTTATCTCATCGATCTGAAGTATACAACTCCTCCGTGATACATAGGTGCGTATGTACCAAACCGCATCCTGTTCTGTGGCAATCTGATGCCATTATGTCCAATTATTATGAAACTCATTTTTACTTTACAAGTGTGCTTTCTGAAAACATTATGTGACTGAAAAGTTAACTATTACGAATATGAATCGGGTCTTGCATGAAAAGAGTGCAGCGTTTGAATAATAGTTAATTAAGACCCTGGCCTCCTTTGTAGTACAGGAATTATATTTTCAGCTTAGTTCAGATAATACTTTTGTACATCTTGCTGACTGTAAGCACCGATTCCTGCAGTAGGAATGCTGAATCTTTTCAAGAATATCTTCTTGTTGGGGCCATTTGTAGCTTTGGAAGATGTTCATTAATACAACACTTCAATACCGAATAGAATTGAGAAATCTACTCAAACTGTGTCGGATTTAGAGACTGGTTAGTGGTGGGAACTGATTAGGAAAGATAACAAGAATGTAGTGAATGCTGTTTCTAGTAATATATTGTGACTATGCGGTAATTGATGTTAGTCTTTCTATCTTGAAGTTTTAATTATCGAATTCCTTTATTTCTACTTTCAGAATTGCAGTGACGTCAACAATATTAAAGAAGTTGTCGTTTGTGACGGAGGAAGCACTGACAACACCCGTGATGTCGTCAGAGAATTTGGACGGACGTCCCCTGTGATCATCAGACTCATTCACAGCCCGCCAGGTACTGACACGTCACGGCGATGTTTTATGTCATAGAAGTACGCAATAGATATTTCTGCACGGCAATAATTTAATATATATATATAAAACACGGATGTTATTCATTACATAAAAATCTTCGTTATCACAATTTTGTGGGATTATATGAAAGTGATATCACTTGATGAGATTAAATTGATTCGCTTTTTTCCTTTTTGCTGCATGGAAAATGAAACATATTTCATGCTATCAATCATTGTATAGAAAAACAAATGAGAACAATGTCGAAAAGATACCACATCGCACACTATGGTGTGACCTATAGAAAATGTAATTGATATGTAAAACTGACAATTACTGAAGTATTTGTAAATATAATATATTTCAAATTTTTTTAAAATAGCAACGGGCATATCATCTTTACAGAAATAATTTCATTGTTAATAATAAATCCCTGTAATATCAATTTATAACAGTAAAAATCGCGATCTACTTTTTGCGCGTTTTAATTTCCGCAAGTTCACCGTGTCAGTCAGTCGAAGTTGTTTAAAGTTTAATCCACATGAGATTTTATCTTTTTAGTTTACATAACATTTATAATGACGAATTAATGTCTGGGGAGTTGAATAGCGCTTATCTAACGTGTAAGGATAAAAAAATCACTAATTATTGAAATCCTCGACATGGCTCTGTCCCGGTGACTAGGTTGAATCTTTACCTTAACCATCGAGAATCATTGATGTTATCTGAATGTATTGTAGGTCGAGGATTCCAACTAAGATCTGGAGCATACGAGGCCCGAAGTGAATATATAATGTTTATACACGGAGACAGCATCCTGCCACAGAACTATAACAAGGCTGCCTACCGTTGCCTCCAGCGGCCAGGAGTGGTGGCGGGAGCGTTCCAATTCGCTACGGATTTAGTTCATAAGTATGATACAACTAGGAGCAGTGAGCACAATGATATTTTCACCTATCACGCACATATATATAGTATACTGGTGGAAAAAAAGAAACTGTACACGTGTACAATATGCTATAACTGAGGAGGTATTAAAGAAATCTCAAAAAAAAAAAAAAAAAAATCAACAGGGTTTTATCTGACCTTTATTTAACACTAGCTTAAATGATATGGTTATTATCAGCAGTGTCTTGGATAGAGACCAGTTTCCACAGATGTTCTCTAAACAAATTTCAGCTCATCGATACCGTTAATGTCCTCCTCATGATGTGACAAGTATGCTGAAAAATGCCTGAGAATACCATTCCATTTTCTCACAAGCGCACGTGACGGGTCAGGTAACTTCAACAGCTGAGTTTTGAGGCGACGTAAGAGATGTCACATCACATCCCTTACGTGTTCTTTATCATGTTGCAACGTGGCGTTACGTTGCTGCACAAATGCCTGATGATTTCGTCACGATATTTGATGTCAGTAGGTGTGCCTGGAGAACAGGACGTATGTTTTGACGTCGAGGATGTATGCCTCGTTCAAATAGTCAATTACGTACCGTTCGGGGACTAATTCTTCTAATGCCATGTATACTTCTAGCCATCAAAGAAGTAGTTTCACGGGGATGAACGACCCGGATATACGTATCCTGGCGATTAGACTTTACGCATGGACGTCATGACAGAGACCGGTCTTTAGTGATTCCGAACTGTTGATACCGTCTCCACAAGGCGTCTTCAGTATTTCGGTACACACCAAATTGTTTGGCATCGTCAATATGACGTACACCAGCTTCGATCATGCCTACGGCGCGGCATTTGTCAGTTTCATTCAACTTTGGCATGGCGTATCAAAGACGTTTTTCAAAATTAAACTGGTTTTGTGTGTTACAGGTATTTACACTATGCTTTTATACAGGTTTAGGCGACAAACGTGTTTGCGATTGACTGCTGGCCAAAAGAACGTGAAAACGATGACGTGGGCCAGAGACACTACCCTTGCAACTCCTGCACTGACCAGTGTAAATGACGGAGAGACACACTATTTACCTGTGTAAAGTTTCAAGCTTTGATTAATAAAATTGAGCCATACATGAACATTTTACACGTGCACAGTTTCTTTTTTCTGCTTGTATATATACAGGCGTATGATATCAATAAAAAAGTAGAAATGAAGTGTTCAAATTTTGTTTAATAAGAAGAGTTAATCAATTGTAAGTCGCTCAGGCACCAAGGTACCTTTCGTTTATCATTGTTTCAGTCTTAGTATTGTTTCAGTCTTAGTATTGTTTCAGTCTTTTTATTGTTTCAGTCATATTATTGTTTCAGTATTTTCATTGTTTCAGTCTTTTCATTGTTTCAGTCTTTTTACTGTTTCAGTCTTTTTACTGTTTCAGTCTTTTCATTGTTTCAGTCTTTTCATTGTTTCAGTCTTTTTACTGTTTCAGTCTTTTTACTGTTTCAGTCTTTTCATTGTTTCAGTCTTTTTATTGTTTCAGTCATATTATTGTTTCAGTCTTTTCATTGTTTCAGTCTTTTTATTGTTTCAGTCATATTATTGTTTCAGTCTTTTCAGTGTTTCAGTCTTATTATTGTTTCAGTCTTTTTACTGTTTCAGTCTTTTTATTGTTTCAGTCATATTATTGTTTCAGTCTTTTTATTGTTTCAGTCATATTATTGTTTCAGTCTTTTCATTGTTTCAGTCTTTTTATTGTTTCAGTCTTTTTATTGTTTCAGTCATATAAATGTTTCAGTCTTATTATTGTTTCAATCCTATTATTGTTTCAGTCTTTTCATTGTTTCAATCTTATTATTGTTTCAATCTTTTTATTGTTTCAATCTTTTTATTGTTTCAATCTTATTATTGTTTCAGTCTTTTTATTGTTTCAGTCTTTTTATTGTTTCAGTCTTTTCATTGTTTCAGTCTTTTTATTGTTTCAGTCATATTATTGTTTCAGTCTTTTCATTGTTTCAGTCTTTTTACTGTTTCAGTCTTTTTATTGTTTCAGTCTTTTCTGTTTTACTGTTTCAGTCTTTTCATTGTTTCAGTCTTTTTAATGTTTCAGTCTTTTTATTGTTTCAGTCATATTATTGTTTCAGTATTTTCATTGTTTCAGTCTTTTTAATGTTTCAGTCTTTTTATTGTTTCAGTCATATTATTGTTTCAGTATTTTCATTGTTTCAGTCTTTTCATTGTTTCAGTCTTTTTACTGTTTCAGTCTTTTCATTGTTTCAGTCTTATTATTGTTTCAATCCTATTATTGTTTCAGTCTTTTTATTGTTTCAATCTTATTTTTGTTTCAGTCAAGATTATTTACCTCAAGAAAGAGCCATGAGAACAAAACTATACTGGTTGGAAAAATTCGTGGAGTGGCGTTGTGGAAATCCTGCCGGTTCGTTATTAATTGTGCTCGTTTATTCATGTAATGCTGACTTTTACTGACACGTGATATTATTCATTTGTATTTTAAGAAACATCTCATCATTCCCGCTCTTAAATTCAAGAGAAATTCGAAAACTTTTCCAAGGTTTAGTACGCCTATTTTTCTTAAAATATTAATTTATTTATTGCTATATCATGAGGATATTTTTCAAGGAAATATACTAAAAAACAAACACAACATAGATTTGGAGTGACAGAACTTACAGAAATGATGGAGTATTTATATGAGCTAAGTTGTGTCAATCCAATTTCAATTTTTGATTTGATAATACATTGTAAAAACAGATAGGCATGGTATTTACATGTATGTATTGGCATTGCAGAACTTCCTTTCGGAGACCAGGGTTTATTCATGCGCCGTGAAATGTACAATAAAGTAGGAGGGTATCCGAAAGTCTACCTCATGGAGGACGTTATATTGGTAAATTAGTGTTACAACTGCCTATACATCAAATATATGGATATATACACACACACAACAATACAGTCGATCATCATAAAATGATTATGTACATACAAGACTAATTCAATAAGAAAATACAAACAAGTGAACATAATCAAAATCACGATTATATTGATCATTGCGTTCCGACGACGACAACAAACATGATGATGATGATGATGATGATGATGATGATGATGAGATGATGATGATGATGATGATGATGATGATGATGATGATGATGTTTTTGTGATACTGATAATTGCATGGTGATGACATGATTTTTATAATGTTTTGATCTTTTGATGAGGATGATTATGATGATGGTGGTGGTGTTGATGATGATGATGATGATGATGATGATGATGATGATGATGATGATTCATGTGTGTGAATGTTGGTATGTCAGTTTCGTCTTGTGTTATGCAAAAGTTTGAAGAAAAAAAACTAGGACAAAACATGAACCAAAGAAAAATTTACATGGAGACCCTCGAAAAAGTAAAAAAGGGAATAAAACCATGTGTTCCGGAAGAGAATGCGTCTTCTGCTTCTTCAGACGTCACCTACTATGTAAATCCAAGTGAGCAGTGTGAATTGTATGTTTTTGAACATAACATAACTTAACTCGGTCGTCCTTGACGAACTGAGGAAGTTAGTCAGAATTACAGTTTAATAATTATGAAGTAAAATTGCAGGGTCTGACAAAATCTTAATGACATCTAGTGTAAGATAACTGTAATATAGTGTAAGAAATGTACTTCATTTGTAGGATGGTTCTTTGAAAGTCTTTGGCCATATTGGAAAGGCGGAATGTGGACCGCTTATTACGTCATCCAGACGATGGATAAAATGGGGATTTATCAGAGTAAGTGAAAATTCTGAGTAGGACCTGACCTAAACGGGTCATCAATGGTTTTGTTAGACTAAAAACTTAATGCTAGAACCTCATCTAGTAAAAGTAGATGTAATTGACTGACACCATCTTACTATCAAACATCTAAATATGTTCAACAGTTTAGATAAAAAGCTTCAAAAGTATCCCACTTTGGGCATAAGACGGGTAAATATCAGCTCGAATTCCTATTTCTTGCGTGGCAGGCTCCGCCACGGACCTCAAAGAGAATCCCGTTTCCATGAGTTGTGGAGTTTTCCGCGCCCTCATGGTTTCCGTGAGTTGTGGGGTTTTCCGCACCCTCATGGTTTCCGTGAGTTGCGGGTTTTTCCGCGCCCTCGTGGTTTCCGTGAGTTGCGGGGTTTTTCCGCGCCCTCATCGTTTCATTGGTCTGGATTACGAATATTAATCAGTCTAATGATTTACTCTGCGCAAGACACTTTCAGCTGTCCTTAAATAATTTTGATTCATATGAAAACAATGAGGATTCTCATTTTCTTCTGTGAAGCGTTCTCCATTGTATTTAGATAAAATAGTACATTTAACACACAGTGAAAAGGTTTCTTCCTTCCTTTTAATCTGTGTAGACAAACGAAACACGAACCATTGAAATTTCGGCTTTGTACATAAAAGTTGCTATATGGAATGTTTTGCGAATTATCTGTTTTTCATAGACATCATTATGATTTGCCAATGCACACGTCTTTATTTTCTTTATTTACTTTCAATTGTAGATAACAGCAACAAACCATTTCATTATTACGTGTTATAAGTATGGAATTCATCCGGATACGCTTGCAAAATGGTACTACGGAGACAAGCTAAAGAAACAATGATGTTCGTCAATTCAATTGTATAAGTTAATTCCAGGGCATCCTAAATCCAGATATTGTACGTCAGTATAAGCCCAAATCACAGTGAGGTTCACCTGGACAACCCCAAAATGCAATGATATTCACCAGAACGAGCCCAAGACACACTGATGTTCGTAACGACCAACCCAAAACACAATGATATTCGTCAGGACATCCCAAATCATCCACCAGGACAAAAAGGAAGAACTAAGCACAAACATGCTGTAAACGTCATTGAAAACACGCGACTCTCTAACAATCTCAAAACACAAACATTGCTGTTTCACATATCAATGGAAGCGTAGGGACAGTCTCAAAACAAAAACATGGTTGTTTCACATGTCAATGGAAGATGAGGAACAGTCTCAAAACATGAACTTTTCTATTATATCAGTGAACACTTATGATATGCTAAGTACTTAATGAGTGGTGTTCTCTGAGTGCCATTATTTCTTTAAAAATAATAGGGTTGGGTTGTTTTAGGAATTAATTCTAAGACAGTTATAGACTGTTTCATATAAGCTGCCCTTTTCATACCTGAATTTTTACCCGAGATTTCTTGTGTTTCTCACAACCTATCTTCATATATTGAGCTATTAAACTAATTATATGAATTTTATTGGATGGAAAATAATAATAAAACAGATATACCTGAAATAAAACTATCCATGACAAGTGGTATCTATATATCTACTTGACATCACTATGTGTCATGTTAAATCCTGTGTCTAGTTCTATACATAGTTAATTCTTCGAAATGTTTTGAACTGTAAGACATACAAAAATGTAGTTTTCGGGTACCCTGATTATGTTTCAGCCCTGAGTACAGTTTGTATTGTTTTGAAGTTTCGTTCACACCTAACTCAGCTTGTGAGTATTTTGTATAAACATGTACGATATGAAAATAGCAAATGCATATAGCTAAAACTAAATTTTACACCGCCATGTGTACCTCCAGGTTGAGGCCGATTGTATCTCAAAGTAACATCATTATTATTGTCATTCTAAACTAGGAATTTACCGCTGATAGTTATCATTCTATTATCATTACTGTTATTATTCTTAAATTTGATCTATTCACTTCCTGAAAACCAAAAACAACTTACTATGATTACATTATTCGGCTTTGATAAGAACTACCTTAAATTACGATGCTATTTATAATCAAACCATTGTATATCAATCTGTATCAGGACTGAGTTGATTACCCTCACCTTAAATATGTATATATTCATGCTTTCTGTTAATTTACCTTTCCTTTCTATTTCCCTTTCTATATCAATATTCCTGAACTTATCGACTTTCTTTCCTAAACTTTGTTCCAGTGTTTCCCTTATTACTTTCTTTGCATCCAAACTCACTTTCTTCTCTCTCGAACCCCTACTATCACCTTTCCTCACAAACTTCTACTTCCTACCATTTATGTTATATTGTTATACGGATGATGTACTAGACGCCTCCATACTGTCAGAAATTATTATTTTTACCCTCCCTAATGGGATGTTGTATTGATTCTTTGAGGTGCGCTATTGGTGCTCTTTATTGTAGAACACATTCTAGATTTGTTCGTAAACGTCTTAGACTCTTGAACAACCCGTATTCCTTTATCAGTGTATTCAAAATAGCCATATATTCTAGTATTGTGTTCGCCTTCTTATGTTTTTACAAGCGTGAAATAAAAAAAAAACAATGTAGTTATAATTTCATTGTTGAGATTTTTGTTATTGTGCAATATTAATCAAATTACCAGTCCTTCTTCGAACACTAACACAAACGAATCTTTTACTTTAAAGGTAAATTCTACAAGCATGAAAAACTTCATTAATCTGTTAAATGTTTTTCTCTTTTCTTGGTTTCGAAATTTGATTTATTCCGAGATTTTAATATTACCGTTATTGGTGTATATGGATGTTGAAACCAATCCTGGCCCGAGTTTTGATGAGATTTCAGTCTTTCACCTAAATGTCAGAAGTGTTAGGAATAAGTTAGATTACATAGAAGATGTAGCTGGAGAATACGATATTGTTTGCCTTACTGGAAGTCATTTGGATGACCAAGTGTGTACAGATGATCTACTTATACCAGGTTCCCATACTCCGTTCAGGTTAGATAGAAATTTTGCTGCTGGTGGTATCATTGTCTATGTAAACGATCTATTAAAAGTGAAACGCTCATTTGATTTAGAATATCCAGGTGATGAAGTAATCTAGTTACAAATTGTCTTAAATCATATCGGTTTAATTATTTGTACTGTATACCGGCCCGAAAGTTCAGTCATACCATTCTGGGAAAACCTTCAGGCTTCTATTTACAATGCCTTTGATATTTCTCCAAATTTAATTATTACTGGGGATTTTAATGTTGATTTACTAACTGTTACACCAAATTATATTTTTGTAGATATCATTAGTTCTTTTATTTTCTCAAAGGTTATACATGAACCTACGTGTATAGGTGTAACTAGGTCTAGTCTACTCGATCCAATTTTGTTGAGTGATTTCTTATACAGTATTGATTCTTTTCTCATTAATATAGATAGAACTGTCAGTGATCATGAAGGTTGTACTGTTAGTATAAAAATACCATGTACTTTTAAATATGTATATAAACGCAAGGTTTGATTGTATAAAAGAGGAAATTTCGCTAAGTTAAATAATCTTATCTCTCAGTATGATTGGAGTGGTTCTTTATCAAATGCGGACTCAGCAGATAGGGCGTGCGAAACTTTTACCAAGGTTTTTTTTATTAATTTTGCAAAACAGTGTATACCTACTAAAGAAGTTGTAATTAGGCCAAACGACAAAGCCTGGATGACATCAAATTTGAGAAAAAATATTTGATTTCGAAACCGATTACATAAGATAGCGAGAATATCGCAACTTCCTCGGGATTTATAAAATTTAAAAAATCGGCATAATTAGATAAATAACATGAAGAAATTTACTCGTCTTAATGTTTACGACAATGTCCATGGCATCATTGATAACTATTTCTGTTCGGATCCCAAGGCGTGTTAGAGGTTGATAAAGAGATTGATGAAATCTGGTGGTGCATCACAAACTATCCCTACCCTAGTAGATCCTCTTACCGAAAATATAATTACTAGTGATGAAGATAAGTCTAATTTGTTAAATGATTACTTTGTAGTGTAACTTGTATTGATGATAGCAATTCTCAGGTTCCTGATGTTCCATCAAAAACAAATTCCAATTTCAATTCAATTAGACTAAGCCACAGTGAAATTAGAGATGTAACAACAATATTGAAACTCGATAAAGCCTCGGGCCATGATTGTTTGTAACACTATTTGTAAACCTCTTGAAATTTTATTTAATATGTGACTCTCTACTGATGTTTATCCTAAATTGTGGAAACTAGCAAAAGTTATGCCTTTATTTAAGAAAGGTGATAGACATTTTCCGTCAAATTATCGTCCAATTTCTTTGTTGTCCACTGTTGGTAAGGTTTTTGAACGTGTCATCTTTAAGCACATCTATAACTACTTTGTTGAAAATTCGCTGTGTTATAAATATCAATCTGGTTTTCGACCAGGATATTCGACAGTATATCAATTAATAAAAATGTATCTAAAGCCTCTGATCGTGTCTGGCACAAGGGTTTACTATCAGAACTGAAACCCTATGGAATAGGAGGGGAATTACTGGCTTGGTTAAATGATTACTTACATCAAAGGCAACAAATTGTATGTGTTAATGATTCTTCTTCGAAAATGGGTTATATTGATGCACAAGGTTCAATCCTTGGTCCTTTATTGTTTTTGATATATATAAATGATATAGCAGATATTTTTGATTCTGCATTTCGCTGATGACACCCTACTCCAGTATTCTTCTTCCTCGTGTCTTGAAATTGAAACTACTCTAAATAAAGATCTCGAATACCTTAGTACGTGGGCTAAAACTTGGTTGGTAACTTTTAATCCTGCTAAAACAGATGTGCTATTTATCTCAAATAGAAACGACATTAATGAGTTATTGGAACTTGAATTTGATGGAAGCTTCTTAGACTTTACAGATATACATAAATATTTAGGTGTTATTCTTAACTCAGTTCTCAAATGGGGAGACCATATAGAAGCAGTATATACTTCGGTCATGAAAAAAATGTCATGAGAAAATTGAAATGTATATTAAAATGAGATGCTCTATTGATGATTTACCTAACATTTATTTTACCTGTTTTAGAATATGGATGTGAATTATAGGTAATTGTACTAGTTCTGAATCGGAAAAGTTAGAAAAAGCTCAACGTGAAGCAGACAGAATTATCACAGGTCATCCATCTTATCCAGGTAACCAATTTTTATACTTTAAAACAGGTTTAGAAATTCTATCGGCTAGAAGAAAGAGAAGAAATCTTCAGCTTTTCTATAAGATACGTAATAATCAAACTCCGGATTATCTTTCCTCTTGACTTCCCTCCTCTATCCAAGACGATGTTCAACATCCTTTAAGAAACACAAACGATTACAGAGTACCATATAGTAGATTAACTAAAATAACTAGCTCCTCCTTCTTTCCGTCAACCATTCGTTCGTGGAATTCTCTTGAAAACTCTGTAAGATCATCGGCTTTTTAAGTATTTTCAAAAGTTCACTTAAACCTAGTAATCAATTTTCTTCTCCTTCTCACTTTGGCATTGGCGACCGCAAACTTGATATTATCCACACGAAGCTTAGACACCAGTATAGTTCTTTAAATTACGACTTATTCCGTTTGAGCCTTGTGGAAACCCCTAGCTGCACATGTGGACATATTTGTGAGAATGCCTATCATTTTTCTTTGTATGTGATGGTTTTGATACTGAAAGAAATATTCTCTTTCAGAATCTAACCGACTTCGATTTGCAGGTTCCTCGTGATTTAGATTTGCTTTTATTTGGTAACAAAGAATTGTCGCATGATACAAACTGTGAAATTTTCTGATGTGTTCAGCACTTTTTAAAGTCCAGTAGCAGGTTTTAAGTATAACGTTTCATGTCATTTTCAATATTTAAATCCGATGTAACTGATTAATCTCCCTCTCCCCCCGCCCCCCCCCCCACTTCTCTCTCTCGTCTTCCCCATCCCTTTCCTTCTCTCTCTCCCTCTCTTTACTTCCCCATCCATTTCCTTCTCTCTCTCCCTCTTCTTTACTTCCCACTCTCTCTCTAGAAATAGTATTTTGTTGTTGATTTGAATTACGTATTGTCATAATTGTATTATGTACATTGTATTTATTTGTTTGTATTTTGGAGAGATCGTTTTATAAGTTGAAATAACTTGTGCCCAATCCATTTACAACTTTGTTAAATAAAATATGTTTAAACTAAAACTAATAAAACTAGAGTATTTGAAATATAGAGAAAAAGTACCTGAAATAAAAATAGGAGGGGGGGGGGGAGCAAAAACGCCAGTCGCTCTGGTGTGATGTCTTATATGCAGTCCCACATTAGTGTGTTTATGTCGTGGGAGGGGCCACGAAGGCTTAGCAACAAAAATTTCTGAATTCAGTGTTTAAAAAATTTTTAATAGTGTAATTATTTAATGATGAATGATATGACATAACATTGTTTTATACCCCACAACAGGTGCTTTGATAATCGCCTCAATTAGCTACCATATCCCTCCTCCTTATTTGAAGTTGAGTACAAACTCATCGTAGCAACAAAATAATAATTCACCTGCTACTCCGTAAAACGATGATGGGTTGATGAGCTAGTAGATCGTGGAAAACAACGTGGTTAATAAAATATCACATTTCTGGTAATTGGTATCAAAATCTACTAATATGTCATTTAGAATTGATTAATAGTCATTTTAGTCTAACTTTTTACTTAAGGGCCTATCAGTACAACATGTAGATACAAATACCATGTACAATGTATATGTGAATACAGTCTATAATCTGAAATGCGATAAATTAAATATTTATCATTTAAAATTTATCATCAATATTACATTCGAAATAAAATGAGAATTAAGACATTCAAACATTTCACAAGATATATGAAAAAGGTTTCTTCATACTTAATAAGGTTATAGAGAATAAAACTAATTAAAATTTGACTATTGTTAAATCATATCCTTAAATATTTATATTTAAAAAGAAGTATCATTAACATAAACTTTTTAAAAAATGAAAGTAACATCAGTTGCTAAATGTCAGCAGGTGAAGTTTTACATGTGAATTTACCTGTTGGAACTGATACAACTTTAACAAAAAAGTCTATAATCACTATAAAAACAAGCTGCCCTGTAAGAGATTTAAAATGGTCCCACTCAGAGATGACCCTCAATGACCCCCATGAGGTTTGTTTTTGTAATCTTGCAAGACTATTCTACCAGGAGTAAAAATAAGAACAAGCGAGATTTCAAATAAGAAATATATTGTTTCCACACATTTGGTTTTTATCTTAAAATGTTCACTTTGGTATATTGAAAAAAAAAGATATATTGAAACGCCCAAAAATCCTCATCTTTCTTTTTTACAATGATAATAAAATTATGGAATAATGAAGTGTTTTGACTGGCAATGAAAGGTAAGAATTTCTTGATGCTTCGTCTTTGATAAACAACACTGGATTCTAAGCAAACTTGCGTATAAAGGCCCGATACCACAATTATTGTTATCTTTATTCTACGAGGAACTTGTATTTCACGCCAATTAAATATTTTTCCTGGTTCATCTAAGACAGATGTGTACTTATTATGACGAGAAACATTTGTTCTAGTGATAGAGTTTTCATTTTTACACTTGTATATAATATGGCGCACTTTCTCATAGTAATCTTAGTATTGACATTGCTTAAACAACATGGGGTACTTTCAAGTTCACCACAGCTTCAACTTAAATTAAATAGTTCTACAAAATGGTATAACAATCAGATCCTTTACTGAATTGTATGACATTGTTATTTTTGTTTTCTTTTAGTGAAATGTAGCTCGTAATTGATTGTGGTCTGAAACCTATTCGACAGTCTTGGTTAATCAGACTCTTTTTGTCTGCACTCGCTACACCATTTGAAAAAGCAGACTAGATAACCCGATCGCATTTCTACTTTCATTTTGTTCATTCCATTTCCGGTAATGATGTTAGTGTAGAAAAAGAAGAGACAAAAAATTGACAAAGAAATTGGAAATGAGCTTTTTGCTCCCGGCGCTCCATTCTAAAAAGAATATTGACGATGTCATCCGAAACACCACAGATAAGATAGTTGTTCTTCGCTTCGGTCGACAGTATGATGTTACTTGTCTTCAGCTGGACCAAATAGTATGTACTGATCTTATTGTTTCCAGAAACCACAGGAAATTCGAATTACAGTAAAGCAGTTTGGAAATGAAGTGCTAAGTTATCGTCATTCCTTCTTTTTATATAATCACATTAAACAATAGGAACACAGAAATTGGTTGTATACCAATTACAAAGTTATATTAATTGTAAATAAAAATAATGTTTACAACCATTTTTGTGACATAAATCTGTGATATTCATATTGTGGTATCACATGTTAAAGATTGTGCTTTATAGCCTACCACCATCAGATGGTGTGATACTCAAGTCGCCTTGGGTCTGTGGTGTCAGTCATTGTTATCACTGTTTCTTGAGAAGTAATTGGAGCATTTTTAAAGACCTTTTATAGTCTCGACATCGGTTGATTTTTTTTAGCAATCTTTTGGCTTATAAAGTCCGAACATGCAGGTGTTACCTTGAAAAATGATAATTTTCAATTAAGGTGCACACATAACCAGAGAAACCTATATATGAATTTGAGAAAGATCCATCCTGCATTTATCAAGAAATATATATTACAAACAGTCATATCAAAATCCAAGATGGTCCCATTTTATTTTTCAGATCAATCATAATATACAACAGGCACAACTAGAGACTAGGTTGAATCTATGTATCCTTGGCACATTAATTTCAGATCCCTTAAGAAACATTTCTTGCTTGCTTGGCAACTTTGATGAATTGCCACAAAACAAATACATTAATAAAATGAAATGTGTTCATACTATAAGATTGATTTTTTTAAAAACTGACCAATGAAACACCAGTCCTTTTCTGAAAAATATCCACAGATCAGACATCATCTAAAATCACTGACATGTGACTTCATCTATTTCTAATGACATCGCTAAATCACAGAAACACTTGAGTTAGCCTACAGTGACCAAGAAGTATACATGTATTACATAAAATCATTTTTTGAATGAGTTTGATAGGAAAAGCAACTAGGCTGACAGGCAGCAATCTTCGATCGTGGCAATGAAAGTTAGCTATTTCTTTATCTTTGAAAGAACTAGACAGATTTATATGAAACTTCATACATAGATTCAGTCCCTTGTTGTGTCCACTCAATTGTGAATCTAATTAGAAAAAACAAAATAGTAAACAGGTGAGCATCTTAAGTGGATCTTCAAACAAACTGGCTGACAGTTGACTCTCAGAATTGGTTGTTTAAGAACTATTATCACTATTTCCAGGAGAAATGTTTAAATTTCTTATAACTAAGAGCAAAAATAGAGGAGAGAAGTGAAAAGAAGGGAAAAGATCCAATTTTTAGAGAACAGATAAAGATCAAACAATGGTGGGCGCCAAGATCCCTCTGGGATCTCTTGTTTTTAGTGTACTTTCTCAGATCACAGTAAATAGTAATGCATTTGATATATGGGGTAAGTGTTGAAAAGAGTTCAGACTACTGTTTCTATTTTTTTGTCTTGGTTGTGTAGGGTTCTAATTATCTATCTGTGTCTTGCTTTCATCTTTGCCATGACCACATAAAAAATAAAATCCCTATAAAGTCAGAAACCATTTGAACTAGTGTCTGGAGACACACGTATGCCCATTTAGATATATGGCTCTATTTTGAGTTGCAGATAGATCAGCTAGAGAAATTGAAGGAGAGTTGGTGCATGAGTGATACAGGCTCAGTGGTCTGTTACATTATATCATTCTTTCTGCTTTCACAGCTGGAGAAGAGTTCGGCAGATGTTGGAAACATGGCCGTGATTTATACTGTGGAAGTTGACAGTGTTCCTGTGTACAGACGATACTTTGACATCACTCTTATCCCATCCACCATCTTCTTCTTCAACTCACAGCACATCAAAGTTGACTGGGAGTAAGTAATGATGAGGAAACCTTTGCATTAGCACAGAGATTATTATAACGAACTTGAAACAGAAAAAAATTATTTCCATTTCTTCCAGACAAATTTTTTTATTACTTTGAGAATGGTCTACATGGCTTTGAATCTAGGGAAAGAACATGGCAAATTGTTAAAATCATAAAATAAAACACAGAGACATTCAAATTAAATCATAATGCATTGGTTTATCTAGTACATATATCATACTTTCCTGTAACATCTATCTAATTGTGTATGGAATAGTCTTATCTGTGTTTCTTGACAATTTCTTGGACTTTCATTCTTTTGGGAATTTCAATGCTTGGATTGGGGAAGAAAATAACTACCAGGTAGTTGTTGCCACTGGGAAATAGCTCAATACAAGACTCTGATGCTGTCAAGGAAAACACCCCACTGTTATTCCTTGACCAATAGCAAATTTTAAGATATATGGTTTAATTTTTTGCGAGAGTCCTCCACTAATTCTGAGATTCCTCAAAGACTTCTGAGTTAGTTTTATACTACTGATGGTGAATTGGAGAAGTAAAATTAAACTTGAATTAGGAAATTTCAAAATTACTAAATATGAGACTTAAGATATACTACAAAGGGCAATTTGGAGCTAAGCTAAATTCTGGATCACAATAGTAGTTGAAAGATTCCCTTCTCTAAGGGTCTAGATTTGCTGTTTTTATTTGTGTACAGTATACTCTTTCTTTATAGAAGATAATGCCTCTTTCAACCAAATGTTTTGGGTCAAATTTTATTACTATTGATGTCTCATTTTCTACATTACTAGAATATTTATCATTGTTCTCTTTTACTGCAGTACAATATACTGTTCATCATTGTGGTTCATCCGTCATTGTGCACCGTCCAGCGTATGTAAACTTTCCATTCAAATGACTTCTTCTCAATAACCAAATGGCCAAGGGTGCTGATATTGGGCCTGCAGCATGCTTTTTCAACAAGCAGTATGTGGGGAGTAATGGCATTTGTGTAGTGCATGTGAAAAGAATATGATTTCAGGTTTACAGAAAATGTCTTAATTAACCAAATAATGTCGTCTATGTAAGCAGTAGTGTAGGGGGGCAATTTATTTTAGGCCTATTTAATATATAGGTCTTAATAATCAGATGACCGTTTAGGCCCATGGGCCTCTTGTTCTATTTGAATTTCTTACAGGACTGCAGACCACACTAAATTCATTGGAAGTTTCAAGTGCAAACAGGATTTCCTAGATGTTGTTGAGGTGATTTACCGGGGTGTGATGAAGGGAAAAGTCATGATCCGAAGTCCTCTTGATCCTCGTGATGTTCCCAAGTATGAACTCATCTATAAGGATATATGAGGATTCTTCTTCAACACAAGTGTCCTATGAATGACTTTACAAGGACAAGGTTGTCTGAAGTACTAGTTCTACACCACAAGTGTCCTTTGAATGAGTTTAAAAGGAAAAGACTATCTGAAGTACTAGTTCTACAACACAAGTGTCCTATGAATGACTTAACACGGACAAGGTTGTCTGAAGTATTAGTTCTACAACACAAGTGTCCTATGAATGACTTAACGATGACAAGACTGTCTGAAGTATTAGTTCTACAACACAAGTGTCCTATGAATGACTTTACAAAGAAAAGGATGTTTGAAGTGTTAGTTCTACAAAACACAAATTCTGTAAGAATGAGGTCATCTAAAAGGAGAGTTGTTGACTACGACTCAAAAGAACAGCAGAACAATGAACGAGTATCCGAAGTACAACATTGCTGAGTCAAGAATACAAGAACGTACTTATGTGCTTCTGAAAGCCAATGAAACGGGATGAAAAATTGTGACCACATTACATTTAAATAAAAACTGTCAGAAACATATCCAAGCTATTGTAATTACTCTCCCCACTTCACAGTTGTCCACCCTATACATGAATTTCCTTGTACATGCCCTTGGGTAAAGGTATCCAACATTTATACCTTGAAACAGAAACTGTCAACAGTTATTGTAAGATACGGTATTGTCAAGACCTTGAGGTGGAAACTTACAAATCCAATCCTTTGGTTTAGATATTTTTGTCTTGTACTTCGAGCTGGATTGGAATATTTCACACACACCCCCTCCCCCTTGGGAGTGAGATGAGGTAATGTCAACCACAGGGAGAAGATTATCAAGTTGGTAAACACAAGTCTGGCCAAATGATTGCAACTAAATAATCTTGAGATCTATATCACAGTCCAAGGTGTAACTATGTAGTCCTTTAGGTACAAGTTATTGTCACCTTAATGCTGTAAGATGGCTAGGCGGTGTCACACATTCACTTTTGGTCCAAATACTCCAGGGGTCAATGATACATTTGCTTAAAAGTTACACACATTGCCAAGACTATAACTTCTCTCCCAACTGGTCAATGAAACGTGGAAAAATATAGGAAAGTGTTTTAACAAATACTTTCTCAGAATGGCAGCCCAAGATCACACTGAGGTGAAAGAACCGACTTGACAATAAAACTAAAGAGATACATGTAGAATGATAGAGTGCCATTTAAATATGCTAATTAAAAAACAAGAATTAACATTGCAGTTAAACTTAGCAGAACAAATCTGGTTTTGTTGTCTTTATTTAGTAAACAATAACAGAAAGAGTAAGAAAATACCAACACCAGCCATGTAACCTTGGTCAATCCAAATAAGTAAAATCCTATTCTTCAATGAGAACAAAGTATAAAACCATGGAACCTACAGGCAGACTAATGAGCATAAAACATGCCCAGCTTTGTATCACACAAAGAAATACAGCATTTCTCAGGATCACTACAAGGGTTGTAAAACTTCTCCATTCATAAATCTGCTTTTTTTTAAACCAATGTTATGTGCATCAGTCAACAACTTCTTGCATGAAAATTGTGGTAATGGGAAAACGTCACTGAATATCAAATCAGCTTGGTAGAATGTTGTCCATGTTGGAAACAATCGAGATAAGTGGCTGATGCAGAAGTGTCTTCATTTCCAATGCTGGTGGGTATATACAATGGACTTGGACCATAAATTTCTTGTAATTTACAGACAAGACGTCATCAATTATCTCAATGCGAATTTAACAATTTTGCAAGGTCTTCTTGAACTGTTACTACTCATAGGTATGCCAATAATCTGTTTGAGACTCTAACCACCAAACTCAACAAAGATGTGAAACAGAAACTCTTTTCAATGTTACATTGCCATGCTAAACTGTAAGATTGTACACTGGTCTTGCAATCAAGTTTTACATAAGAGGTAAATATTACACTTTCAATATTGGTCCAGCAAACAATCATCCTTTTTTCTTTATTTAAATCATGATAACCTTACCAATCAATGTGAAAAAAAAAAATGTTGCAATTTACTTGACATTAAAACTATAGTGACTGGATAATATTAGTTAATGGTACCACAAGACCAAGCAAATCATAAAATTCACTCAAACATATCAAGGCAACTCATATTTCTGTAACAAAAAATTAAAATCAAATTGGTTTTTCTTTTTTTTTATTTGTCTCTGTACATGAAGTAAATAGACTTAAGACCTTGGCCTTTCCTTCTTGCCCTTGAAAAGAGCAAGCAGTGAAACGTTTGCGACTTTAACAATCTTGAAACGTACACCAGGAATATCACCAACAGCGTGACCTTTACGACCAAATCCAGCGACTAATACTTCGTCATTTTCCTGTAATTAAGAAAAACATTTGTTTAAGTCAGATATCAGGAAATTGGTTAGTTCATATTTGAACATTTTAAGATATTGTTTACGTTTTAACTAATCTTTTCTAAAACCTGCATAATTTTGAACATTTTAATTTGCAAAATATCAGATCTATAAAATCCATTGATGTCTCTTAAATCTTTGTTGGAGCTATAGAATCCTCTAATGTCTCTAAAGTCCTCTGATATCCTTAAAATCTCTGCTGGACCTAAACAGTCCTCTTATGTAATTCTACTGGATCTCTGCTGGACTTAGATGTCTCTTAAATATTTGCTGGAGCTATACAATCCTCTAATGTCCCTAAAATCTCTGCTGGACTTATATGTCTCTTAAATATTTGCTAGAGCTATAGAATCCCCTGATGTCCCTAAAATCTGCTGGACCTATAGAATTCCCAGACGTCCCTAAAATCTTTGCTGGACCTATACAGTCTTCTGATGTCCCTAAAATCTCTGCTGGACCTATACAATCCTCTAATGTCCCTAAAATCTGTATATATAAGCATGTATGGATATCAAAAACATCAGAAGTCCTAAGGGGACATAATGCCTATAGATACTTGTAAGAAGACATCAGAAAAAATATCAACACAGATGATGGTTTGTTGTGTTTTTACCTAACCCAGAGATTATAGGATGAACTGATTATGCTGCACAATGTTTAATAACAGAATTTAGTTAATCAAAATATAGGAATATCTATAGAACACATAATAATTGGGTATGGTGCCATAATTCAGTTTGTATGTAAGCTTGAGGACTCTCCCTCTACAACCTCATGAGACCAATGAAAAGCCTGCCCTCTAATGATCAAGCAACTAGCCACACTCTTCATTTACCTCAACATAGTTGAGACAGCCATCGTTGGGTACAAAAGCAGTGATCTTCTTTCCGTTTTTGATCAGTTGGACACGGACACACTTCCTGATAGCAGAGTTGGGCTGCTTAGCTTCTACACCACTGCAACAAACAAATATAACTAAATTATTACAGTTACAGAATTAAACTAAAAAATCTATTTTTTGCCATGGGTTGATATCTAAATTCTGCATCAAAACCTCCAGACAGAGCAGTGACCATCAACCTTAAAACATACACAGGTAATCAGATTCTTTTCCTCAACATTACAAGGTCAAATTGCATAAAAACTTCAACTATTTCCACTTCTGAATAATTCTATTAGATTGTCTCCCTTTTTCAGTTTACAATCATTTTAATCATGTTGGTTTGAGCTAAATGTCAAGTAAAGGTACCACTCTGATTGGACGAGACAGAAAATTCTAGTACTTGGTCATTTCATGTACAAAAACATCTTATCTGAACTTCATTTCTTCAAGGTTTGACAGAGATTTAACCCAATAGGTAGAATGTCATTTCAAAACCAACATCTATCATTTTTAGATATTAATTCAATTTTGAAAGACAATTCAAGTTATTGAACAGTTGGTATGTTTCAGTCAGAGTTCTGTTTCAAATTAAGTAGGCAAGAAGTTGTATTCATGTCGCAATTAATATCATCAAAATAATTTATTTGAAATCTGTTATATATTATACTAGTCAAATATCCTGACAGGTGTGTTTTTTAGATTTAGTTGAAATATCTTAAGCAACAATTTGATGTCAAATGATTGTAATATAGTGTCATGCTCCATACTATAATATTCTCAATTAAATCTGCCTTTTATGAGCTTATAAAATGTCCACCTACACTTTCTCAAGGACAATTCCTTTAGCGTGGGATGAACCCTGGAAGGGCTTTACCCATCTTGAGGGCAAATGGGCCTTCTTGTAGTCATTATCGTGCCACTTCTGGTCACGGCGATGATTCTTCAGTTTACGAGCTGTCCTCAGTCCCCTTGGTTTTCCTGCAAAGACAAGAAAAATATCTCAAGATTTAATGTGTAATATATTATCTAATACAAAGTTTGCTATAGATGGACCACTATCATACAACCTCTGTACGAGACTGATAGGGTCTTGAAATTCTTTCCATATGATCTGTTTAGTAGCATAACAGGAGAGGTACAAATGCAAATTTTCTAAAAAATTCTTTCAACATGTAGCTTATTTCATGCTTGTGAAATATAAAGTAAAATTTTAATGTTTGTGAATCAAGCGATCCTACAACCAACTAGTCCCCTTTCTTGTTCAGGCCAGTTAATGCTTGATGGATATTGTGGTTTCCTATAGAAAAGGCGACACCCAATATCATATCAAGTAAACTAGTAGAACATGATATTCAGATATTGTCACAGGTGTGTGCTTTCTCAGCCATCAATTTTCAAATTTAACATTGTCAATTACTGTTGTTAGAACCCAAATAGTGACATTGAACTGCATCAGCGAATGTCATTTGAAACTGCAACATACATCTTATTTACTAAAATAACAATTCAGTTGTTTGGTGGTTGGAAACTAAGTTATTACATACTAGCAATTACCAAGAGTGCCTGTAATTCAATATCTGCACATGAAAGCAGTTCTGTACTTGAACTTCATAAGGTAGACTGTTTGACTGCACAGGTTGCTTATTTGTCTTACTTTTTATAGGGACTAAGCTCTGATGTACATTGACTAAAAGTTGATATATAAAAGTTAATAGAATTTCTGAATAATTTGGCCAAGTGGATTTTGTGTTCTCAAAACTTCAGCAAGTTGTGAACTAGCTAGAAATTGACACTCCCACCTTAAGAATCTCAGGAAGTCAGTTCTTTCACATGAAATTCAAATTGAAAATGGCATAGTCACAATCAGTGCCCAAAATATGGTTTTAATAAACTGCACATGGAAGCAAAAATACCAAAATGTGTCTTATTTGCAGTTCAATGAAACATATACAGCAAAATGTAATCCAATAAGCAAGGGTTATATCATGCACAGGCAAGTCACCAATGAACCGATCGTAAACTACATCTTCCTGATGTATTTTCTGATACAAGGACTATATTGAAATCAATGACAGGATTGACAGGTGGTATGTTTTTTTATCAATTTGTGCAAAACTGGACATCTGCACATACTTTTGAATACTTTTCTTTGTTGTCAAATTCAGCTGGTCATAATCACCATTTTCTATGGTTACTCCAGAAACTGCTAAAACACGGGAATTAGAATATCTATATGTGAAATGTAGTTGTTATAATACTAACAAAATAGAAGGAATCGTACAACATTCCTCATATTTCATTAGTATAATTACATTTCATATATCAAGGACGTCCATTTCCTATGGTTGAACTGGTCAGTTTTAATACGATTTAAAACGGTGTTTGATTTCAAAGACATCCCCTAAACTACAAAATTGTCCACAAGTACAGTAGTGAAACCGAAGAAAACTGAATTAGCATGCTGTTGACAAATTTAGGGTTATAAAAAGTGTCCTTTTTAAAGTTTCATTGATAATTCATGGGCCAAAGGGAGGTCATTTTCAAAGTATGGGGGATTGACAAATGACTCGAGACCATCAAATTAAATTATTTCTGAATATATATATTGTCTTGAGAATTGATATCCTGATGTTGAAGTTTCGACATTCCCTTCACGCACAATGCCAGCAGCACGATTAATGAAAGCAAGGAAACTCGACCGGTAAGGGCCAGAATCGAACAGAAAAATGTCTACAATCTGGGGGTACATTTCACTTCTCGTTCATCAATGACTTCCAAAGAGTGACAGATTGTGATTTGCTGTTAGTTGGTAAGATTTATTAGCTCAAACAGACTTCCATTTGCATTTTATTTATACCACGTGCTGTAGTCTACATACCCATGATGGCGGATATTCGTGAAAAAGGCCGATCTCGCAAAATCTCGCACTGTCATTCGGAATACCTCGGAAAGACAAAACTAATACTTTATCCGAAAAATATGGGCGACCGGATTATATTACGCCCCACCATGAATGAAAAAAAGCGTGGTATATATGTGTTTGATAACTTCTTAACTTATTATACAGCATATTTATCAACATTTAGAGTACTCTACTGTATATAGGTCGTAAGATGTATTAAAAAGATGTTGCCCCATATAATGGTCTGAGGACAGAGAGGGTTCAGCATGACATCTTTTCTTCTCTTAAAACATCTATTTTCACCTAAAGTCTCACTTGTTTAGCCTGTAGTTGTGCGCTCTCTCCCTACTCGGGAACCTTGATAATAAGAAGCGAAATGTTTATATAGGTGCGAGACACAATACTAGAAAATATGAGACTAGAAAATGGCCGTCTTAGGAGTACAACTGTCAAAAACATTGTTTGTGTATGCGATTGTACAAACAAAACATTGTTTGTGTATACGATTGTACAAACAAAACATTGTTTGTGTATACGATTGTACAAACAAAACATTGTTTGTGTATACGATTGTACAAACAAAACATTGTTTGTGTATACGATTGTACAAACAAAACATTGTTTGTGTATGCGATTGTACAAACAAAACATTGTTTGTGTATGCGATTGTACAAACAAAACATTGTTTGTGTATGCGATTGTACAAACAAAACATTGTTTGTGTATGCGATTGTACAAACAAAACATTGTTTGTGTATGCGATTGTACAAACAAAACATTGTTTGTGTATTGTTTGTGTATGCGATTGTACAAACAAAACATTGTTTGTGTATGCGATTGTACAAACAAAACATTGTTTGTGTATGCGATTGTACAAACAAAACATTGTTTGTGTATGCGATTGTACAAACAAAACATTGTTTGTGTATGCGATTGTACAAACAAAACATTGTTTGTGTATGCGATTGTACAAACAAAACATTGTTTGTGTATGCGATTGTACAAACAAAACATTGTTTGTGTATGCGATTGTACAAACAAAACATTGTTTGTGTATGCGATTGTACAAACAAAACATTGTTTGTGTATGCGATTGTACAAACAAAACATTGTTTGTGTATGCGATTGATTGTACAAACAAAACATTGTTTGTGTATGCGATTGTACAAACAAAACATTGTTTGTGTATGCGATTGTACAAACAAAACATTGTTTGTGTATACGATTGTACAAACAAAACATTGTTTGTGTATACGATTGTACAAACAAAACATTTGTTTACTGGGTTTGTTTCGCTGTGTACAGCCAGAATCATTTTTTGGGGCGACGAAGCTGGTGCTACCTTATTGAAAACATACAGGAGGACCGTCGCATGCGGACCACATTAAAGGAAACATTCCATCAAAGAATGTAAATATCAGATTACATATATAACATATCACGTGACAGACAATTTGCTTCATGTGAAAGTGTCGACAATTGCTAACTGTTTATTCACTACAACTTCCAAACTTCCTTTTGGGGGATGTCGTTGTGGTGTGATGGTAAGGCAGTTGGAGAATTATTCGGCTATGCGATTTGGATCCTTATATCATGATATCGAGACCTGGAATAAAATAACTTCCTTCGACAGTTGTGAAATTTCATGAAACGCGAAATAGAAGGGTTTTTTTGCGAGCCTTAGCGACAAAAATTGAAACTTTCAAATGAACTTCTTAATATCTCATATGAAATGAAAACAAATTTAATCACATAACTCAGGAAAGTTACGTTTTGACATATCTAACGTAAAAAATATTAGGACAAAACTAAACGGAGGTAGTCATTTTTTGCGCCATATAAAATTAATGACGAAACGTCATTGTCACTTTTATGACACCATAATCCATTTCTGAATGGTGCAGCCAATGAAAAACGCTACATGATATCTACCACTAGTGATAAGTATCCAAAAAATTATTACATGCGATAGCTTCCTGGATATCTGAGCGTTTATGTGATACAAGGATTCACCTTATTATTTTCCAAGAAAAAATATTGTTAAATAGTGTTGAACTCCAAATTGTGACCGTCTTTCAATTATATTGAGTTTCAATGGTTACATACTACATATACTGTATATATATTCTTTTAAAAGGAAGTGTTATGTACCGTTTTTAAAGCGAGACTCATTTAGTCACAAATCAAGTCTATATTTAAATCAATAATTTAGTAATCGCGAGTACTTTAAGACAGATATGAGAGACCACAATACACATCATTAGATAATTTTCATCACTTCGAAAATATTGAACGAAAAATGCAATATTTGAAATAGCAAATAATACAGTTCTGTGACTAAAACTGTTTACACTCCTCGGAGCTTTGAACCCTAAAAATACATACCAATATTGTGTTTGATGTTGAATGTGCTTTGTTTGGTTAGATATGTTGGTGAAACAAATAGACGAAAGGTTATCGTGTAGCAGTGAACAGCACAGAAAATCAATGTACACCAACATTTCAACCGCCATGAATATTCTAATCTACCACACTTCTGACCTTACACTTACCACACCGTACCTGACACTTTGAAATGAATACTGTAATTTTTATCATAGACCGAAGTTTGAATTCATCAGATTTTCATCCTTTTTAGCGTATTAATATTCAACCTGATGGTAACTGCTTTTTGGTGTTTGTGAAATGGACATTAAAAATAAATCTCCGTTTTTCACTATGTCTATTTTGCCGATTTTGTTATAGTGACAGTCACTCTTCAAAAAGACATTGTTCGTATTGAACTAAGCATGAAGGCATATTTAAAAATGCGGATAGTCTCTTTTCCGTCTTCTTTTAATTTTTTACTACGCACCCCTGATCTGACAGATGACAAAGCCCGAAACGTTCCGATTATACCGCTGTCACATGATTACGTGCCATAGATTCTAAGGAAAAGAAAGCTTGCGAAGACCTGAAGATGTTAGCGGTTTGTGCTATATTGTTCTTCGTTGGAACCTGTACTTGTACATCTGATGTACCTGTACTTATATGGTCACAAAGCAGGTAAAGTGGTTATGTGTGCTGATTATAAATCGTATCTATAGTTTAGCGATCCGGTATAATTTATACTGCTTGCTTGACTCCTGACGTCACATCGAATCGATAACCAGGGGCTTGCGAGTTTAGGAACAATATGTGTATATTCTGACCCTCAATCAAAGTAAATTGGCAAGTAACTTATTTACACAAGCTAGAGACTCGTATACGTATGTATTTATCTTTTATGCAAATTTCATTTGCATTCTGAAAAACGGTTCTGGACAAGCCTCGTCCAGCACCTGTGCCTCAATCGAAGTCGTTTAACTTCCTCAATCATAGTCCATAAGTAATTAACTCAGCTTCGATCTAGACAAGCCTTAGACCGAAAATTTCTGTCTCTGAAATGGTAATTTAATGTCAATATTCACATTTACTGTGCTGTTATTAATATTGACATTTTAATTGAATATGCTCATTTTTTTAAAATTTAATTGTTTGTTTTATACAGACAGAACGGAGATGTTTATAAATGCGGTAAAACATATTCATCTTATAAATCTTGGATTCATTTCAAAGTTTATCAAATTTACAAATTCAAATTGCGTCACCATTACCAGCTATACTAATAACAGCCTGTCACTGCCTGGCATTGTCCAGTGCTACCCTGTTGCGGGAGGTGCCAGGCTGTTATTAGTAAAACTTGTAATAACTGTGCAATTGACTTTCTATATTGAAATACAGAGAGGAAATACACTGAATTTAAAGTAAAGTTGTAAATTGATGTGTTCCCATTTTTGATATGACAAATCAAGTTCAACCAGAATTATTTTATTATATGATATCCATTTCAGCCCTATGAGCCAGATTCCACAAGTGAACCTTGGAAACACAGTCAAAGTCCAAGAATTTTCTAACAACTACCTAACACCTCTGAGGTCCCAGAAAGATGGAAACTTGGTTGTTTTCCTTCAGGAAAAGGTAAATCAAATTGATGTATCATTTTGATAACAAACCTGTACATTATACAATAAAAGATTAACTTGTTCTTTATGATTTCAAAGCCTCAGTTATCAATAAAAAGTTTCCAGGAAGATAATGAGTTCACTAATTTTGAAAACGCTGTCGAAATTGAAGGCATTTATTGTCCTTTCTGAAGAAGAAAGCAGTGATCTTAAAATGAAACCATGGTTTGACTCTCCTAGAAAAGTTTGAAAATGATATTCTCATGCAGATTTTATTTTCAGTCATGAGGGGCAGGGTGATCACTGCCATATCAAATGACTTGTCTCCCTTTACACTGAGTTATGGTCTGTTTTCTTTTACAGTTAAGTGTTGAGGATTTTACCAAGTATGGTGATGTTTACAATTCCTTCAGTGATGGTGGAGCATTTAAAAATGTCAAGGTGAGGAAATTTTGCGAAAGAAGAGGAAAAAAAACAAGTTCATGCAAGTGGCTTTAATTCAAAAGTTTGTAATATCAAATATGAATGTTTTTATGTGATGTAAGTTGATTTAAGAATTAATGTATCACAAGGTATTATATATTAGAGAAAATGTGTATTTTTTTTCAGGCCCTTATGGATGAGAATTTCTCAGTCCACCTTCCTGCTGTCAGCTCACCACTGAATGCTCTTAACACACTGAGGAAGACTTTTGATGGAAAAGTTCATGAAGTCACAAGTGCAGTAGATGTTGATGACCTTGATCTTGGGTCTGGAATCAAGAACTTGATTATTGTAAAATTGGCCCCAGGAAATGGTGCTCAGTCAGAGGAAGAATCTCTTGCATCTAATGGTAATTTAACTTCCTGTTGATCATTGACTGACAGTGGGATATTAATGAACGTCAGTTGTCACTATGGTAGTGTGTAAATATAAACTGTCCATTGATACTATTGGTCTGTACATTCACAGTGGCATGTTTATATAAATTTGAGGTCAATGTAACGATTGTCAACCTGTTTTATTGTTTAAAAGTAACATGATACATTATTACTTGAAGAAAATCATATTGTTTGTGTTTATGTCAAGTTTACAGACGCTCTTTGATCTGCATTCAATGTTCTTATTTTGTATTTTTGACAGATGGTCAGATTGGAGATGTAGTTCGACGGCTGGACAAGAGAGAACTCAAGTACACAGCCTTGTACACAGCTAAATCAGCTGTGCAGGTAAGCTCATGTCTTTGTTGCAGATTTCAATTCCTTCTTGTTACCAGTAACGTGACATTTTGGAAGCATAATGAAAATATTGGTCATGATTGCTTTTATATTTCCTGACAACGTTCCATGGCTGTCATGGACTCTTGTTTACATAGATGGAAACATTCCAAAAAGATTTACTGCTTGATTTATCAGAACAAATATAAAATGAAATAAATACAGAGTTGTTTCCCTTACAGAATCAGAAGCAAGCCTCTAGTGTAAAGCGCCATCTACTGGCAGCCGAGACATTGAATGATAATAACAATGGAACGTTCCTCAACATGACCTGTATGTACTTCTACATCCGAACCATCACTGCGTATTTGGACAAAGGTGGTAAGAACACCACTGTACATCTCAATGAAACAACCAGTTTTACTGATGAAGGTTCTACATGTGGCAATTCAACAGCAATGTAAGTCTTTTGAGGGACTCACTTGGGAGGTTTTCTTAGTCCATTTTACTGCCCTTGTGTATACTGTATATGTGGGTATTTTTGAACAGATGATTGCCGATTCTCTAGTTCTTTATGGAGTGAGAACAAATTAATGCAAAAATAATGATGAATGTAAAAATGAGCCTTAATATTAAACTTTTTTGCATCTTTAAATGTACATTTGGCTGCAATCTCCAGTAAACAGGGTAATATTCAAACTGAGTGTGATATTAGAAACAGTAGCTTAAGATCACATGAACAAGTGGTTAGTTATTTCATAATTGTCCTTACTTGTAACAACATACTGTCTAAGCACTTATTAATGTGTAATATATGTGTATGTATAAAGAGTTCATGAAAAGGCTAGAGAATTTTCAAATAGGTTGTATACTATGGTGATTTTGGGACTTGGATATTTGAGGCCTCGACTAATGCTTTGCCTGTGGGATTCACTCAAACTTTGAGATCCAACAACGTCTGTTAGTATTGGGACTCATCAAAATTTAAGAATTGGTATTCTGGGCTTGCTGTCTAAAAACAAATCGTACAAAAATACTGCACTAAATTACAGTAACTTAAGACTGTTATATTCATGATTCATTAACTGAAAACACAGAAAAAAATACATGTGCCTACTGAGTTCATTAGGTTAAACATCTTTACTGTCAGGACAGCTTGATACTGTCTAGTCTTGTTTATTGATTGGCCTCTCTAACAATTACAAGAAGAAACTGTTAGGTATTTATGAAAATTAAATAACACATATACTTGTTCTTAATTAGACTGAAGTTTCTGATGTATGTACTGTGTAATTATCTGACAAACTAGAGTCCCTTCTTCCTTAGCTGATAAAGAAATAAAATTCAAATTAGATCAGTGTACATCTGATTTTTCTGATTTGAATTAAAATCACAACAAAACAATAAGATAATAATAAATAAAGATTACAAAAATAACTAGTTCTTATGATTTCTTATCTCACATTTCAGGTTGAAGTTCAAATATGATGATGGGACTGGCATAACCCTAACAATGACGTAAGTTTTTCTATAGATATCTGTTCTGTCAGAAGTAGCAGAAAGTTGATATAGGATGCCAGTGTTTAAGTTACATAGTATAAAAATATCAAACAAAAAAGAAAACATTTCAATATAGCAGAATGGACTTTTTATACTGAATTTCAAATTAATGATACATGTATAGTATTCTTTTACATTACAAGACACCTTTCCATTTCTTCACATCATTCTCAATAGAGATTATCACATCAGTAAGAATAGAATGTTTTTCCGATCAGAAAATGGGAAAGGATTTTTTAATGTGTTGTTGACCTATTCTAATTTTGAGGAAGGTGAGGATTTTCACACAACTTCTAAAATTGTATGTGGTTATGTTTCCAGATTAGACATATCGGACAAGAACTCTTCTGACTGGCAGGTGGAGACCTTTAGTGTGGAAGTAGTAGGGTCTGTAAAGAATATAGATTTTACAGGGGATGCAAACATGAATACGAAGAAGATGAATGTTGGTGCACCCAAAGATTTCTCTTACCACTGTTCTCGTCTTTCTGTTGTCAATGCCACGGCAGACAATACAACTACTGTAAACGTCAGCCTCGTTCTGGATGGCTTTCAGGTACTGAATAATTGCATTACAGATTGATTACATAGTTTGATTACATAGTTACATGCTTTCAGTCATGTTAGAGGTACATAATAATCCTTTTTACAAATTTTATAGTCATTAAATTTACGCTGATGTTTCACGTCAAAGAATTCAGTAGTTCTATCACATCTAATCTAAACAGATGTTTTCACATCATATAAGAATTCAATATTGCATTAAATCTAAGCTGATGTTTCAAGTCATCAAAGAAATCAGTAGTACAATGAATTATCTTTTCTTTTCTTTCACAGTTGCAACCTTTCAACATCATAAATAACCAGTTTTCGGATGGGTGGGACTGCGTACCATTCTTTACTGAGGGGATCTGGATGGGTCTCCTCTCTGTCCTTCTCCTTACACTCATCCTGTTGTATGGCTTCAGCATGCTGGCTGACATCAGGACTATGGACAAATTTGATGATTCCAAGGGCAAGACCATCACTGTCAATGTATCAGAATAAAAAATACTTATCGCTGATTTCTCAGTTCTACAGTTCAGTACATTCCACTCAAGTTAATTAATGTCACTGTTGGTTGATATCATGCATTATAGTAATACTTACAATAATTCTTCTTTGTTATTATGGTATTTCAATTCCACTTTGAACAACAAAAACAAAAAAATCATGTAAATGAGAACTTATGGATTATTATGACCCTGTGGACATACTTGGTCACTTTTGGCTAATGAGATCTAAATCAGGGTCAACTTTTATTGAAGTGGTAGTGGTGTTTTGGAGTTCCTGAGGATATGGAGGATCTTACATGAGTGTCCATATAACACAGAATCTTTTAAACACGTTCAGTGATTTGTTGTTATGAACCTTCAGACACGAGTAAGATTCTATTTATCATATAACCTGTATTTCTGGAAAATCAGCAAAAACTCCCAAATTGATTTCTTAATAAGACAGACTTGTTTGATGATAATAGTATTTTTTCACTACTAAATTGATGACATGGCACAACAGGCTTGTAATGTGATAAAACTTTTTCCATCAAAGATTAAACTTAAATTTTCATCATCTTACAATTTCAAGAGATGTTCATCTTGATGTAAGCTTCAAAACAATTGTCTCTGTGAACAAAATCATTGAATTTGAAACAATAAAGAATGACTTTTATACAGCAAATATATGGTTTCCTTGCTTTCATATTACATGACTTTTACTGTAAATGAAAAGGTTTCTATTAAAATCCAATCAGTATGTGTTATGTTCACCTATTAGTTATTTTACAAACCGTGAAGCAAATTCATGCTCCGAGTCATTATGGTTGGACAGTGGGCTATACGATGTGTAAAACAAATCGAATAAAAGACAAATATTACCATCGAATCAATCTGTGTGGGCAATAAATATCTCGGGGTCTGAAGACACATGGGCTGAACAATTGTAAATCTGTAGACACTTTGACTTTCCCACCAGACAATCTGTAGATACATCACTTGTTAATCTGTAGACACTTTGACTTTCCCACCAGACAATCTGTAGATACATCACTTGTCAATCTGTAGACACCTTGACTTTCCCACCAGACAATCTGTAGATACATCACTTGTCAATCTGTAGACACACCAGACAATCTTTGACTTCCCCCACCACATCACTTGACACTTTAACTTTCCCACCTGTAGATACATCACTTGTCAGTCTGTAGACACTTTGACTTTCCCACCAGACATTCTGTAGATACATCACTTGTCAATCTGTAGACACTTTGACTTTCCCACCAGACATTATGTAGATACATCACTTGTCAATCCGTAAATACATCATTTGTCAATCTGTAGACACTTTGACTTTCCCACCAGACAATCTGTAGATACATCACTTGTTAATCTGTAGACACTTTGACTTTCCCACCAGACAATCTGTAGATACATCACTTGTCAATCTGTAGACACTTTGACTTTCCCACCAGACAATCTGTAGATACATCACTTGTCAATCTGTAGACACTTTGACATTCCCACCAGACAATCCGTAGATACATCACTTGTCAATCTGTAGACACTTTGACTTTCCCACCAGACAATCCGTAGATACATCACTTGTCAATCTGTAGACACTTTGACTTTCCCACCAGACAATCTGTAGATACATCACTTGTCAATCTGTAGACACTTTGACTTTCCCACCAGACAATCTGTAGATACATCCCTTGTCAATCTGTAGACACTTTGACTTTCCCACCAGACAATCTGTAGATACATCACTTGTCAATCTGTAGACACTTTGACTTTCCCATCAGACAATCTGTAGATACATCACTTGTCAATCTGTAGACACTTTGACTTTCCCACCAGACATTCTGTAGATACATCACTTGTCAATCTGTAGACACTTTGACTTTCCCACCAGACATTCTGTAGATACATCACTTGTCAATCTGTAGACACTTTGACTTTCCAACCAGACATTCTGTAGATACATCACTTGCCAATCTGTAGACAATCAACAGCATAAGATACCTTGACTTACTTCACAGCTACAGTTGAGATTTATACCAGATGAATGCAATATTAAGTAATATGTAGAGTATTTTACAGCAACAGTTGATGTCTTCAGGAGGTAAACTGGGTGCATAGCCACGGATACTGGTATTGTGAAGTTATAGATGAATTTCATACTGGATGAACGCAGTATACAGCCACGTGTACACGTAATTTTCAGCTACAGTTGATGTTCATACCAGATGAACGCAGTATACATCAACAATCACACACTTAGTTTAGTTATCTTTGCTTCTTCATTACTGTATGTTTCTAATTGATTAAGTTGACGTCTTGATTAGAGTAAATAATTTGCGACGGTCTGATGGCTATACAGGGCTACAAAGGTTAGAGTAAATCAGCTGTTTGTCGGAAAATGAAATTGTTGTCACAGAATATACAAGACTTTGAAAGATAAAATTAATGTTCAATCTTATTTAATTCATGTTGGAAAAATGTTCATTAACCACTGCTTATCCTTAATCGATCGTTGAACAACTGCGGGGCCAGAAGAGGGAGTGTGTACTGAAAATGATAAAAAAATGTTTAATATAATTACATGTATTTTGGTATACACGTTGGTATTCAAGTGTGATTGCTTGTTTTTCTTTACGAAAAACATAAATTATAACGAATAACATACATTTTGATAAACCAATTAGCTCGAATGTCACAGAATTATATCTAATGAATAAGTGATAATAACAATGCATCAAAATGTATTTATAGCACAGGTTGATAATCACAACAGGTGTCGAGGCTTACCTGTCCATATCCGTCTGTCATCTAATTATATAGAACGATAGGAACAATTAGTAAATAAGTAGCAAAATAACATCGCGATAATAACGGTACGGCTTTTTCATGGTAACAGATTTACTCACGTGAGCTAGAAATGTCAATGATTTGCAGGACTTTTTCGCGGTAACAGATTTACTCATGTGAGCTAGAAATGCCAATGATTCGCAGGACTTTTCGTGGTAACAGATTTACTAAGGGAAGCTAAACATATCAATAATTTGCAGGACTTTTTTCGCGGTAACAAATTTACTTACGTGAGCTAGAAATGTCAATGATTCGCAGGACTCTTGCGCGGTTTGACGTTTCCATGGAAACGGATTTACTCGTGGAAGCTAGATATGTGAACGATTTGTATGACTTTTTAGTGAGGTGAGTTGGAGATCAACGATTTGTATGACGTCCTCATGGTAACAGATTTACGCAGAGTTGTATGAAAAGTACGAGAATCGTTAAATGTGCTACTGTATACCGAAAATAGTTGAAAAATCTTAATAAAAATTTCTGAAGATCTTTATAAATTTCTTATGATATCTATATACGTTTTTTACTAGGAGTAATTTCGGTGTGATCAATATATATACTAAACTGAACAAGGGAGGTAAATCTATACTGTGTTGCGAGTAATCAATTATTCCCTTTATAAATCCTTATCAATCATGTACGAATGAAGTAATTGGTCAATTCGGATAAAACTGATAACATTATTAATTGATGAATCTTTGCATGTGGTGGTTTAATTGGACGTAGTAACACCATTAGTAACGGGTATGGCCACCGTTTTCGGAGTAAACAGCATTTCAGTGTTGTGTCATGGAACACGTAAAATATGACGTGCTATCGTGCGTTGCAGAAGAACGTGCCAAACAGGGACAAATAATGTTATTTCAATGGTCAATCTTACGCCTGTATGTTCTTCTGCTGCAGGAGAGTTCTGCTGAAGCAGAGACGTATATATGTGATATATACGTCTCTAGCTGAAGCGACTGGTGAACGCTTGTGCGATATCCTGCTGTAAAATGGCGCAAACGATATGACGTCTTGAGAACAGTAAAGCCTTTGGTTTCGCCCCCATATCAAAATGCAGGCTAAATTATCATTTATTTCAAACCAGTTTGTTACGAATCCACTTGCCTCGCCCCACACCATCACACTTCCGTTGCCAAAGCGGTCCCGTTCTGCTACGCAACAGTTTGCAAATCGCTCCCCTCGTCGCCTCCACACATTGCGCCTTCCGTCACCGTGTTGCAGACAAAGCCGGAACTCATCTGAAAACAGTTGTTACGTGGTTTTAAGAGGCAACGACAGTGAACTCGGGCTCAGACGCACGACGCCGAATAGAATGCGCAAGTGGAATAATGGTAAATGATTGTCATCCCTAGCGGTCGTTTTGCGGGGTCGGCCGCTTCGGGGACGATCGGATTGTGTTACAATTTGATGTAACGACTAACCGACTGGTAAATTGTGTAAACACTGCGACCAAAATGCAGCTCCAATTGACTCCAACACCGCCTGGATCATGTCTACAGCCCTTCTCCTTCTGTATATGTGTCGGTCGGGCGTAATCGTAACGTTGATAGATTATAAGAATTAGTAAATTCTATGTGCTAATAATGCCCAAAGAAACTTACATCTCTTTTATTATTTAATTTTTTATGGAATCCAAGCGAAGACCAATCAAGTCCCAAAAAACGTCATGGCGCTCTTCAGTTACTACAGATTTACACGCTGGAAAGATATTGATAATTCACTTGGTTTTTAGAATGTAGACATTGACTTTTCGTGTATATGGCTATAGCTTTGTTCTTGTAGCGGTAACAATAAATAAGAAAAATTATATGTTCTTTCTTTAAATTATGTTAACAGGACTTCCTCTGATCTGTCAGTATGGTAATAGCTCATTTTTGTTTTTTTTTTTTTTTGTTTTTGTTTTTTAGGCATTACATATCACAAACTCATAAAGGACTTGACCTTACATGTACTATCATCAACTCGGAAGCACGTTCGCTTGATAGATAAATCCCATCTGTATATAACCTCCTCATTTTATCCAGATAAGAAATTCAGTTTGGATCATCGAAACATAGGGAATTGTGGGGGCTTTAAAGAGTGAACATGTGTTTTGCTATTCTCAACAATTACCACATCGTAAAAATGATATAACAAAGCACTGAAAGAACTTGATATAAACTACTCGCTTGTTTTGTAGTTCTCTTTCACATATCAGTATTTGTAATTGTAATGTGTAGATGTTGGAAATCAAATATTGTTTAAACTTATAGTTTAATGGGAGACCACAATTTTTGTATCGGAAAGAAAATGAGATGATCTATCAGTTTCTAATGGCTTCGTGTCTGATGTATATTGTTATATCAGCTTTGGAAGCTTAGCTTTAGACATCTGTAATTATAGTAATACCAAACACTAATAAAGATGTGATGAAAAGTCACGAGTTAATTATTGATAAGAATTGATGAATGCACGTGATCTATGTTGACGTTCTTTAAACCTTTCACAAATGTTGGTATTAAAAAGACGATGTTTCGTATAAAAAATTTATCCATGACCTTCGACGAACTGTATACCAAGCTGTCTATGAATACAAATATGGACGAAAAGAGTGTTTTCTCTACAGTACTGTCTAATTCTATACTTGTACACGTCACAAAATGTAAATTTCAATCATTATTTATGTCGGTGTTAAGACCTTTAGGACGTTTGTTAACATCATTTCTGAGTTTAATGGTTGTGTTTACCTGCCAACGTATACATAACTATGCCACCGAGCTCAAGGCTCCGGTACAGGCGGTATCCGTGTTTATCGACTTGCACGGTCTCTCCGTTCTTGTACAGTGACATATCATTTCACAATAATAATTCTAATTTCATTTAAAAATTAAGGCATGCATTTAAGGTTGTTGATGTTATCCAAATCAGTTATCTTTTCGAAGGAAAACGTATCGAAAACGAGAAGTTGGGAGAGAGGGTGTTGTTTTGACGGCGTAATATAACTTACGAAATGTGCGTCATAACGCCTGTGTGTTGAAGGACTCACTAATCCCTAACATTATAATGGATTACCGATTAAGGATTAACTTCAATGTTACCTTTACGTTATTTAACAATGAAACAAAACAAAGTGTACTTGATACATCTCGCTCTATTGGCCACAGCGCGTCTGTCTCGCAGGATTCGGCTGAGTGCCGAAGTAGGCATCCCTGAGATATTTTTCTCTTATTTATCTCGTTTAAGAAAACACTACTTCGAGAATCAGCATGTTATGGTAGTATCATAGAATTAACTACATATGTAACACTAATATTTCTTCATGTGATAATCTTACACTACTGAAAGACAAAGCCACGGCTGAGAACTTCTGGTAGGGTTTTAATAATTTTTATTAAATAGATATACAGCTCGTGTATTTGATAGGGAATATATAGATCTCAACGCCATAGTACGTGCCGTGCTTATTTTTAACGTAATGACCCATGTATTTGTTGGAAATTCCAGACTAATCCTATTTTGATTTTATGTCAGTAAAACTATCCCCCTCCCTCTTTCCGTCCATCCCTACTTGTCTGGACCATGCATATTGCACAAGAGAATGTTGGCGTAGATTCATCTCTGCACCGATAATAATCATGTTCCGTGAGCTCACATCTATTTGTAATCAGAATGACGTAAATTGTTAAAAGAAGGCATTCTTGTCCACTGCGGAACTGTAGTTAATTTAATTTGTGCGTGGGACTTTTCTTTCCCTTTTTTAATGAAAGAATAAAGTTTACTATGAGTATAAGCAGATTATGCAATCAACTTCAATTACATTTCATTCTGAAATCGTTTCATCTAATCTGTGATGCTTTCCTTTGTGATATTTTTCACCATTATGTACTGTTGTCTGTATGGTCTTATATTCATAATTGCATGACTGTGTTCATGTTTCCTGTTTTTTTTTTTTTTTTTTACCTTTTTCCAAATACTAGCTTTCCCCAGCTTATGCTCATAGTTGCCATACATCTGACATAAGATAAAGTTCCTTAATCTAATTCAGCTCATAGACGCGAATATTTAAAGCATTCTTTAATAAATGGCTAAACACTATGTGCACTAGTAATTTGTTTTGAAACACTGTAATACAAATACAAATTAGTTTTCTTATGACTTGAGAACAATACCAGATCGAGAAGAAAAAAACCAATGGAAAATTGACATATCGGGCGCTGATCACATGATCGTTTGATCTCTGTGCATACGAGTTAACGTTAGGTTCTATTTATAGATAATCTATTGTACTAAATTACAAGGAATAAGTCACATCAAGCACCACAACTTCAAATGCAGTGAAATTATTGTAGTGAGTAATGATCGCTGCAACAAGATATGTTTTTGTGTTTCCAGTAGGTAATTTACGGTAACTGTCAACTCTCCCGCCATCATAGAGAGTGAGACTTACTCTCGCGCGACAGAATATAGTCCATCGTAGGAAGTCATAATGCACACTTATTCTGCATGTTACAAACAGTTTCGCACATTCAAATATGCCTACCGTTATGATCAAGTTTAACATTATGAATTATATACAATTCCTTCGTTAAAGAGATGCTTGTTACGATAACATGCATGGAGGAATATATATATCTGTAGATCAACTACATGTGACGTCATCAGTGCTAGTTACCCGAGTCTCATCGAATGGTTTACATACGGAATACACATACAACACACATGTATGCGTGTTAGTAAACGGTGGATGTAAACGTTCTCTTCGAGACCATATTAATTCTAGGTATTTAGCTGTAAACAGCCAACATGAACTTCGAAATACCGCCAGGATTGACGGATCTTCTGCAAGATTTTACGGTTTCTGTGCTCAAAGAACGACCTCCGGATCTTGTCCAGTTTGCAGCAGATTATTTTGTGAAATTAAATAGTCAGAAGAATGTAGGAAAAGATGATGAAGATGATTCAGGAGGACGCGGAGTTCGGTTTGCTGGTGCAAGTCCTCCCCCGGCAGAACCCATGGATGAAGATGACGACGATGACGATGAACCAATGGGTAAATATTATGTACCGTATTACCGTATCGCACGAATGATCTGCAGCCTATAGGCCAACGTAGCTAGTATGAAATTTACAGATTAGGTCCCTTGGATTGTATTATGTATAAGACATTTAAACAATGGACTTAAATTTGTGATTCGACCAGAAACATGAGGCGAATGTATACATATTTCACTTATTTGCATTCGTTCATTGTATGTGCTTAGTGTATGCTCTCATACAGACACGATATCTAGGGACTGCTTGTATCTGATTTAGGCTACATTTAGCCTATATTTACATCGGTAAGGAATGCAACATGCAGTCAAATTGGCAGAGTAACTAATGAGTTGTGAGAGCGTTTTAACCATGTAACTCTATACCACCATACTACTTTGTATATATGGTTTTCGTGACATGAATGAAGATTATGGATAATTATATTACACGTTAAACAGGACTGTTACTTTGATACCTTTCCCTTGGACTGTAAAAGTTGTAACATTATGCTATTTCTATTTTTTCGGATTGATGTCTATAGAGACAGAACCATGCCTACATTTATTAACTTTACAACTATACTCAAGTTCAACAGCTTTATTTTGCATTGGTTACTGAAAAGCAGAGGCAGAATGTCACATCACTCACCAGTAGGGATTACACTGACCTGGTATGCAGTGCTTTTCACAAATTTGTTGACAAATTTTCCCCTAGTGATCTTAAATGTAGGTCAACAGGGCCTAGGAAAAACCTTCAAAAGTGAAAAGCATTTGTTCAGACTAAGAATTCACTAGTCAGGAAAATTTACATGTATGTTACAAATTGTGTGTTTTTAGAACTACATTTATGATAACAAAATAATTTGTCAAATTGATTCATTTGAATCAACTTGTAAACAAATGAACTTTATTCAACATATCAAAGTCTGCTGATCAGTGTTTCTGATCACAATTTAGTTGCCATGTTTTTAATCTGTCACTTCAAAGACTCACTGATTTTGAACCATTTTACCAACATGCAATTGTGACATTTTTCAATGAATCTAGGTGTAACATTATGCAAATTGAAGAAATTATTTGCTGAAGATCATTTTGGTTACAGGTTTTACTAAAATCAGACATCAGAATTTAGAATTTGGGGAATATGCTACCCATGGTGGAAGAAGTGGAATTTTTGTGTTATTTTGAGAATTTCGGAAAGCCCTTTTCTGTATTTTGGAGAAATTTCTCATATTTCCAATATATTTTCTTTATGCAGAATTTGTGTATATTCAGAGGGAAAACATACCACTAGGGGAATACTTACTTTTTCTGGCACTAAATATTTGTTTTATTTTAATCCCTGCATGACAGCTGTCTTTCTTAGACTGCCCAGTGAAAGAGAATGAATTTCATTTTTGCTACAGCAGTATCTTTCAAAAAGTTGCTTGAATGGCAAGTCAAAAGGGAGATAGTTTTATTTAAAAGGCAAAAAGAATAATATGGACAGAAATTTACTCTTCTGATGGATGAATTGACAATAAAAATCACTTGTCTGTTGCCAAAACCCACCAATCAGGACAAGCGGACAAGTGTTTTTACTGGGCACTGGGTCAAGATTGTTGGGTTTCATCAGTCTATCAGACAAATATGATCCTAGGCCTTTTGGTTAATCATCACAATTCGTTTGAAGTAATTAATAGATTTGGCCCTTGTGACCTTGAATACAGGCTAAGGTCATTTCGTTTTGGAACTTTGTGAGATTTCATCTTATTCTAGAACACTATAATCCAAATATCATTATTCTACTTTTAAGCCTTTTGTTAATCACAAAAAGTTGTTTTAGGACTGAACAAATTTAACCCTGTGGCATTGGATATGGTCAACGTCATTTCTTTTCTCAAACTTGTCAAATGATATTTGTGGGAAGAAATTGTCATTTTCATGTGAATGCTGTGCAACGATCACTTCATTATCCACAAGCTGATCAATATCATGTTTAAAAAATTAGTACAAACCTAACCTTACTTTTTCTGTACTTACCAATATTCCAGGGGAACAATGTTAACCACAACAATAAAAATGGATTTAACATTACTTTCACCACCAAGTGTCAAATCTTTGCTATTGATGGCATTGGTTTAAATTAATTATATTGTTCCCCCATTTGACCAAGATTTAAGGAAAGTATATGTAATCAGGGCAAACAATTTTATTAATTAGATGGCATATATACCTTTCTTCAGCTCGTTGCTTGACGACCTAACCATATTTATTTATCAATGTGGTTCAAGATGGATAATTGAAGTTCCATAATCGATTATTGGTTGCAATATGGGTCAAAATGATGGCATGATACATAGCTGAAGAAAATGTCCATTTTCTGGTAGAGATGAACCAAGTACAAATTTAAGTTTTTTCTGTATGCCTAAGTAAATGATATCATATTCCACAGAGTTCTGAAAAATGCTTAATTACATGATTAATGAAGGAAGTCTTTATCTGATGGAACTTATCAGACTCGCAAGATGAAAAATACAAGAAGAAAATACCAATTTAACATGGCAACATAATCATAATGCAAACTCAGATTCAATAAAATATAAACAAAAGACAGATTTACATAGAGATTCTTGAAAAAGTACAAGTAGAATAAGATCAGGTGTTCAGAAGAGAAATCATCTTCTGCTTAATCACCATTTTAATCTTGGTCAATCCAAGTAAGTAATGTAACATTTTCAAATGAAAACATGGTATACAACAATGGAACCAACAGGCAAACTAAGGAGCATCAAATACGTTGAGCTTGATATCACACAAAGAGATAGGATATTTGTCATTGAGATCACCATGATGACCATAAAACTCTCCCCCAATTTTTGTCAGCTTGTGTCTTTTTGAAAGCCTGTGTTACAAGTTTGTCCATCAGTTCACAACTTATTGCAAAAAATTCACAATAACAAGAGCAGGCCCTTGAATATTGAATCAATTGTGATGTATTAAAACCATATGTTGTGAATGAAGGGATTTTGCTGTCCAAAAATGAAAAAAAAAACACAAAAAGATAAGTAATCCATGTTGGTTTCAATGTAGGAAAAGATAGAGATAAGTGGCTGATATTGAAGAGCCTGTCATGTCTGATTTCTAATTCTGGTGGGGATATAGGGTGGACAAGTCCAACCTTTTATGAAAACAAAAACAAATCAGCCAACAAAGAGGCACAGTTCCTATAGGTATGCCAAGATGTTGTCAATCAGAAACTTGATCATTTTTACTAAATTCGCCTTCCTATATTTTTTCTATGATTTGGATGTTTTTTTCTCAAAATACACTTCAGTATAGTTCACAACCATATATTTGTACCAACATTCACTTTTCTTGAAAAAGAATGCTCTCATAACAAGAGAGTAGAGGTGTTCTCTAGTTTTGAATAGGATATGATGGTCTACAATAGATCTAGAGGTGAAATGAATGTTTGCGAATGAATACCAAATGACCAAATATCCTATTAGTTGAATGGTATTCAAATATTCAGTATGATATTTATAGGGCTATAACCCGAGTACCCATATACGGGTCAGGTTTGAGAAATAACTGGGTCCAAAAATGTGTACCTGGGTACCTGTCAAAATAGGAAATATTCTATCTTCTGTATATATTATCTGATTATTAAAGTAATACAGTATCGCACTCATTTGTTCCGGTTTCATTCACTGAGGATGACACTTTATCTGTTTGTTACATTTCCACATTCAACATTGGTGATTTTAGTTTTCTCACATCCGCATTTCATGAAGGGAATCGTCAAACACACATGTTTACACGATAGAATGGTGTACTTTACTCTGTTACCATGGATAACACACAAGGATTACCAAATTTCTTGTTGGAATTAAACAACATTCTTATTAATTTATTTTAGTGTGTTTTGATTCTGGGTTGAAACTTTCACTGGTGTTGTTCCTACGATGTCGTCAAGCTCAATAACTTTGTCAAATACGGTAATGTCTCAATCCCACTTCACTTTTTGTTGACCATGTGCAAGTAATACCATCCTGCCAACTTTTGACTGGATGCAGTTTGTCTTAAGATCGTTCTAATTACAAAATAGTTGATAGGTGCAAAGAAAGGAATTCAATAATATCATCAGTGAAGCGTTGTGTTCATACAATGTATATGGTTGAATTTGTACTTGTTCCCCAAAGTTACAAACACTTTTTAACAAGGTAACACTACATTTTATTGTAATGTCAGATAAAAGTCGGGTACCCGAGTATGGGTCTGGAATTAAAATTTGGGTATCCAAGCCCAAAATTTTGTACCCATTACAATCCTAATACTTACCTTCCTTTAGTCCCATGGTTAGAATTATGGAGAAATGTAGCAGCTGGGTTTGGAAGTATTTCCAGCTGAATTCTGACAAATCTAAAGCTGAATAAACTGTGCTCTTTGGTTTGATCATACAAAGTAACTCCGTCTAACAAAGCAAATTATCTCCGGAGGAAACATCCTGTGACTACAATAAGTTTCCATTGAAAACGTTAGGCTTCTGTTCCGGTCCAGCACTCGGTGTAGTATAAAATGACATTTATAAAGCAACAATTCAGCAAATGGAAAACACATGAATGATGATATATAAACATGTTTCTAACATGAAGTAGTAAACAAATGTGAAAATCTGCTATCTTACATCTACATAGTGTCATTGCATATAGTAGTCAGAATAAAAGAATCTTCAAATCGAGAAAATTCACATCAACTGGTTTCTTCTAACAGTGAATGAAATTGCCAAAAAAAGCTAGTTTTTTCCTTATGTTGTAAATAATAAACGCAAACAAAAGTATTTGAAGCACATGACAGTGATTTACTGTAGCTAAAGATTGGTTTATGTTTAAGATTTGAGAAAAGAAATTTACTGCTGATTTTGTCTTGTTGGGTTATTAAAGTGGTTTTGCATGAAATATGTTTGTTCAAAAGTATTTTTGATATGTAATACTCATTAAGGAATGGTTTCTTACGAGCTACATCTGACTTGTCT